CCAGGAGCAGGGGGGGATCCCAGAGCAGAGGGGGAAGGGGCGATCCCGGAGCAGAAGAGCTCCTGGATAGGGGCGTTCCCATTAGGAGGGGCCCTGAGTGGGGCCTCGCGGAACGGGGGGCCCGGAGCAGGAGAGGACCCTTCGCAGGGGCTCCCGGAGCCGTGGGCACCACGGGAGCGGCCGGGCGCGGCCCTGGCCCCGCTGGCCCAGCACCTCCGGGTGGCACCTCTGCCGCCCGCTTCCCGATAAGCAGCTCAAAGTCCGGGCGGTGCCGGGCGCTGTTGCCCAGGCAGGCCCCGTGGGGTGACGGTGGGGAGGRAAGGCGTCCACCCACATCCCCCCCGCCCTGCGTCCCACTGCGGCTGCTCCTGCAGCGCCTCATTCCTGGGGAGCAGGGCTGAGGGCAGCGGGGTGTCCTCACTGCTGCAGGGCCGTGCTGGCCACAGGGCACAAACCCACCCAGGACACAGCGGCATGGGAGGGTGACAGCTGCCAGCGGGAAGTGGGGAGAAGAGGGTTGCAGGGGAAAGATCATGAGGATAAAGGCTCAAGGCTCCAGGTTGACCTTTATTGCATGAGCAGGCCCCAGGGGAGCCTGAACCCTCGGCAAAGCTCAGGCACTAAGGCCAGGCTGCCTAGGGGACACCCCCATACCCAGGACCCAGCCTGGGGCAGCCTGGCTCCCGTGTTGCAGCCCCGTCCCCTCCCCAACCCGCCATGGGCCAGCGTGGCATCCCCTAAGAGCCAGAGAAAGGTCCCCCTTTCTCCTGCRCCTGTCCCCCAGGGGTGCCCCCAGCTGCAGGGGAGGCCGTGGGCCCGCGTGGGGCGAAGGTGCAAGGCACAGTCCCTGGCGGGGTGCGCAGGCAGGGGGCCGAGGCCGCGCGGGGCAGGCGGGGAGCACGGGAGGTCCCAGCAGAGTGGCAGGTTGGGGTGTCCCAGCAAAGGGGGTACGGAGGGGACGGCCCCGTCCCGCGTGGCGGCTCCCAGCAGGACTGAGCTCTGCTCCCCGCCGCTGCCCGTCCTCGGCGCGGCCGCTCACAGGTCGCTGTCGTCCTCGTCCTTGCCCTGCAGCCCGTTGACAGGGCTCAGCGCCAGGCGGTTGCTCTCGTTGAGCCGCCGCACGCGGTAGCTCTCGTAATGCACGTTGTGGGTGATGTCCTTGAGGTCCTGCAGGTGGGAGCTGCCCGGCGCGGCAGCCGGTGACAAGGGCGTGAAGGAGGTGGTCGCGCACGGCGGGCGCAGCAGGCACGGCTGCCCCCGTCCCGCCACGCTGTCCCGGCCCCCGGGGGAGCCCGTGCCAGCCCGCCCTGCGTCCCACGGCACGACGGAGCGGCGGGAGGCCGCGTGCCCACGGCCCCGTGTGCCCAGCGAGGTGCCTCACCGGATGAGCAGGTCCCGCAGCATGGGGAACTCGCAGTGCACTGGGTTCTCCACTGCAAGGCAAGACAGAGAGCGCTTGGCTGCAGGCCGGGGAGCACCCGGCGCCAGCCCAGCATGAGGGGGCACACAGAGGACTGSCACATGTCAGCCGGGCACCCATTCCGAGCCAAGGAGGGACGTCCTGGCTGCAGACACCCTGTGCTGCTGCCTGAATGTCCTGGCTGCTGGTGCAACATTACCTTCGATGATGCCCCACTTGGTCTTGCGGCCCAGCACCCGCTTGCCGTTCACTTGGTGCTCCTGGTCTGCCCCCACCACGGCGAATGGGATCTTCTCCTGCGGGTAAAGGAGAAGGTCACCCAGGGGTGCTGCCATTYGCCATCCCCCCGCACTGTCCCCCTTCCAGCACTCACCCGAATCCTGTCGTTCAGGGCCCTGTCATCCGGGTCCTCRTCAAAGTCCTCCTGCGGGTACACGCTGATGGCGTGGGCCTTCAGGTCCCTCTGGATCTGCAGGACACAGMGGCTTGAGAGGGCCAGGGGTGGATGGGTGGCAGGAGACAGAGCACCCTGCGCACCGGGGGCAGGCCAGGGAGCCCCCGGGAGCCAAATGCGGCGCCGAGGGCACCGGGCAGCCCTGGGGCGCTGCCCTCACCCGCTGCTTGAACTCGGCGCGCTCCTCCAGGGTGAGCGTGTCGGCCTTGGCGATCACGGGCACCACGTTGACRATCTTACTGAGCCGCCGCATGAACTCCAGGTCGAGGGGCCGCAGCCTGCAAGGGCAGCCYGTTGGTGCCAGCTACCCCCAGAGCACCAAAACCCAAGCCCCCCGCATCCCAGACACACCATTATTGCTCCCACCCCTCAAAGCTGCCCAGGGCGAGGGGCTGGGGCTGTGGAACGCAGTCAACACTCACCAGTGGCCCGTGGGGGGCACAAAGTAGACGCAGCCATGCACCCTGGTGTCCGGGATCTTCCTCTTGCGCGTGATGAGGATCTCCTCGCGCAGGTACCTCTCGTACTGCTCGTTGATGTACTTGATGATGGGCTCCCAGCTGCCAGGGGGGCATRGGGAAGGTGGTGAGGGGCCTGGGGACAGTGCCTAAGCAGCCCCAACACCACCCCCAAAAGGAAGCTGCACATTTGCAAATGAGAAACYGGGCTGAGTGCCTGATCCTGCTGGGGACCAGCAGGACGGGGACGATCCCTGGCATGGACACCCTTAGTTGTGGACTATAAAGCCCATGCTTCCCGAGCGGAATGGCCAGGAGCTGCCTTGGGGCCAATGCCAGCCCTGGTGCCTGGTCCCAGCTGCATCCCAACCAACCTACCAATTCTCATTGTTGATCTGATCGCCAAATCCCGGTGTGTCTGTCACGGTCAGCTTCATCTTCACACCCYTCTCCTCAATGACTGGCGGGGCACAGGGACACAGCGTCAGTGGCCACCAGCGCCGGGGAGAAGCGGCGATGCCACTTGTGCCCAGGAGGCAGGACAGCGCTGGGAGGGGACAGCAGGGCCCCCGTGGTGGCAGTGGCAGCAGCCTTACCGTGGGTGACGGACTGCAGCTGCACYGTCTTGGGGATGCGCTCCTCTCGGCCGGGCTGCGTGGCTTTGCGGCTCACCTTGGACTTGAAGAGCGTGTTCACCATGGTGGACTTGCCCAGGCCGCACTGCCCTGCGGGGAGCCGCGCGGACGCGTAAGGGCAGCCCCTGCTCTCCGCGCCGGCGCTCCCGCACCGCCCCGGCGCGGGTAGCTCTGCTCCCGCGTGCTCAGCCAAAACATCCCCATTCTCGCCGGCAGCCGCGRGGGAGAAGCCGGCGGGATGCGCTGGGGAAGCCTCTGCGCTGCAGCCCCGCTCGCTCGCCCACCAGGAGCCAGACGCGTCCCGCACCTCCCTCCCACGGCTCCGCGCTCCGGGAAGCGGCTCCCGCGTGGGCGGCTGCCCAGCCGGCCCCGGGGCAGCGCTCACCCACGACCATGATGTTGAACTCGAAGCCTGTCTTCATGGTCTTGATCTTCATCTGGTCGAGCACGGCCTCGATGCCCACGTAGCCGAAGAGCTCGCGGCYGCCCTGCTCGGGCTGCGTGCCCGGGGGCAGCTCCTCGGGCGCTGCCGCTGCCGGCGGCTCCATGCCCAGCTCCGGGGGCTCCAGGCTGCTCCCTGTGCAGGAGAGTACAGCCCCATGTGAGACCTCATCATGTGAGCGTCCCCAGCCCCTACACCCRTCCTGGGGCTGCCTCGTGGCCCAGGGTGGAAGCGGAGGGCAGCCCTGCACCCACCCAGCCACGCGCAGGGACAGTGGCTGCAGGTGCACGGGCAGGCACGGCTCGATGGGTGACGCTACCGCGGCCCTTTGGCATAAACCCAGGGCCAGACTCAGGCCAGGCAGGGCTTTGCAGGGCGTCCCCAGCTCGGCCGGGCACCCCTCCCGACGCGGGAGCCGCGGGCAGGGGGCCGGGAGCCGCGAGTGCTCCCACGGGAGCGGCGCCCGCCAGGCTGCCATGCCGGCACCGTTGCCCCAGCAGCCGACAGCGCGGCCCCAAGCCCGCGGCGCRGAGACACGGCGCATTCCTCGCCGCCCCCCGGGCCCGGCCCGGCAACGGGGCCGCTCCGCACTGCCAGCCCCGTGCCGCCGCGGGCACATCGCATGGTTCTGCCGCCACGGGCACCTTGCACAGTCCTGCCACCGCGGGCACCTCGCGCGCTCCTTCCCGCCTCCGTCCCCCTGCAGCCCCAGGGCTCCTGCGGCGGCAGCAGGTGCCCTGTCAGGGGAAGCCTTGGGAGCCCAGCACCGTGCTGTGCCAACCCCGAGCGCCCTGCAGCCACGCGAGCCACATCGAGGGCGGTCCCGGGGACACGTGCGGCTCCCACGCGGATGCTGAGGACAAGGATCCCGGTCCATGCACCCTGCTGGCCGTGGCGGGCCCCCTTGGCGGCTGTGGCACACGTGCCCCCGGCCACCCGCCCACACGTGCCCTGCAAGCTGTGCAGCACCCAGTCAGCCGCGCCGGTCCCTGCAGCCCAGCGGGGTGGCCAGAGCCCGGCGGAGCCCCAGGGCAGCCTGGAGCGGAGCTGAATCCTTTGCCCTCCTTTGTCTCCCGGCTCCGGCAGCCTCCGAGCCCTCCTCCTCCTCCCCGACCCGGCCATTGTTYGGGTCCTACCTTGGTGATGCTAGTGCGCAGCCGGGGTGCCCGTGGGTGCCATGCACAGCACCCCACACCCAGGCAGCCTCCCGGGCCCCGGGCTGCTCRCGGGGCTGCAGCTCAGTCCCCTCCCCTCCGTCTGCTCCCGCGCGGGGAGCAGAAGGCGGCCGCGAGCCTGGCCGCGCTAACGGCAACGGTGCCTCCCCTCTCCTCCGCTCGCCGCCTTCCTCCTCCTCCTCCTCCCCTTCCCCCGCTCCTGCCAGCACACGCATCCTCCAAGCGCCAAGTGTGCCCGGGCACAGGCTGCCGCGGCGCTGCCCGTGGCGTCACCGTCCCCCGTGCCCTGGGCACCGCCGCGGTGCAGCCCCGCTGCGCTCRCCTGGGCACGCGCCGTCGCCCCGGCCACGCTCCGGAGCGCGGATGCAGAACCAGGCACTACCGCAGTTGCCCTGGAGCTACCGGGTGCTACCGGTGCCGGTTAAAGGCACCCTGGGTGCCACATCCCTGGCGGGCATCGTGCTGCCCATTCCCACAGAGCATCACCACGGATGGGCACTGAGCCGGCCCTGCTGACGGGAGCCCCAGCCTAGAGCCGGCCTCCCCATCCCGCCCATCCCATCCCATCCCATCCCGCCCCATCCCAGTGACCTCCTGCTGCAGACGGAAACAGCCCGGGGGAGAGGGCAGGGCGGAGGCTGGCGCGGGGCGTCGCGCTCACGGGCGCGAGGCCGGGAGCCTCCCCGGCGGCCGCGGCGGGCAGCGAGGCCGGCGCGCGGCGGCTCCTGCACAGCCCGTCATTAGCCACTAACGCGCCCGGCTAATGGCTCCCTGTGGCCGGACCTGTTCACAGCCTGGTTGAAGGCGTTTTGTTTTCCAGGCGGGGATGAGCGGTGGCCAGGGGCTGCCCCAGCCCTTAATGACTGGTGTGGGGTTAATCAGCGCGTTTCCCAGGGAAGCCTCTAATGAGCGCCTGGTGCAGAGGACRGGCTGCAGAGCGAGACCCCTATGTGGGTCACGCAGCTCTGTGGGGGCTTGGAAGCGGCTCCCAGGAGCTGGAGGGACACGGGCACCCTGCAGGCTTTGGCACCGACAGGCCCGTCTGCAGGAGCAGATGGGATGAGGAGGAGGAGGGATGCACGCCGCGCGGCACGGCGAAGGATGGAGGATGCTGCAGGCACGGGGGACACAGGGAGAGGGATGTCACCGCCGCGCCGTGTGCCGGGCCTGGGCCGGGTGCCTCGGCAGCACCCGCGCCTGCCCTGGGCTGCTGGTGCCCGCCGGGCTCCGGCCAGGGCCAGCCCTACCTGCCCGGCCGGACACGTCCCGTAAACACCGGGGCCTCTCCCAGCGCCGCGCGCGTCCCGAGGGGAAAGACGAAYGGCGTCTGTGGCCGGCCACGGAGCCAGCCTGCCTGCGAGGGGACCGGCCACGCAGGCTGCGCGCAGGGGCTGGGGCTGCACAGAGGGGCTGGGGGCTGCGCGGAGGGTCTAGGGGCTGCGCAGAGGGGCTGAGGGCTGCGCAGAGGGTCTAGGGGCTGCGCAGAGGGGCTGGGGGCTGTGCAGAGGGGCTGGGGGCTGCGTGGAGGGTCTAGGGGCTGCACAGAGGGGCTGGGGGCTGTGCAGAGGGTCTAGGGGCTGCGCAGAGGGGCTGGGGGCTGCGCAGGGGCTGGGGGTGCCCGTCCTGCTCCCTCCCATGCGCTCCCGGCGCGCAGCTGCAGAAGCAGAAGTGAGAGCGCGGGGGCCTCTCCAGCCCCAGAAGTGAGAGCGCGGCCTCGGCAGCCCCACGGCGCCCCGTGCCCACCCTGCCCGCTCCTGCCTGGCATGAGGGGGCTCCGGTTTGGGCTGTCTTGCTGGCCGCGGTCAGGGTGGCGCTGGGTGAGGGTGTCGGGTGGGCAGCGAGGTGTCGGGGCGCTCGCCCTGCCCTCCTGCCCTGGTGCCGCGCGCCCCACACCGTCCGTCCGAGCCCGGCCGGGCGAACCCCGTGCCGTGGTCCTACCTCGAGCGCTGGCGGGCACAGCCGGCCCCAGCCCAGGCTGCTGCTGCGGAGAGCCGGCCACAGGGGCCAAATGGCTCCTGGGGTGCAAAGCAGGGAGGGAAGCTGCGGCCCGCGGCTCCTCCTCCGCTCCTCCTCCTCCTCCTCCTCCTCCTCCTCGCCTCAGGGCCCTGCGTGGGCGACCCGGGGCTCGGCATGGAAGTGAAAGGCGGCCCCACCGCCTCCATGCGCAGCTCTCGGCTTCCTCAAACGAGGAGCAGGCCGGAGCTTGCCGTGCCCGGCCACGGGGAGCGCGCGGGGACGCRCACGGTGCCCGCGCTGCAGAGCTCCGGCCGTGCTGCCCGCCTGTGTCCGGGACAGGAACGGCCGCGTTGCCACCTTGTCCTCGCAGAGACGAGCACCGGGGGCGGCCAGGCCTCCATGCAGCGACGGTGCCGCGGGCAGGAGCTGCCGGGGCCGGGCGGCAGCGCAGGGCCCTGCGTGCGGCGCCGTGATTCACCCTGCCCGCAGCGGGAACGCGGATGCCATCGCCAGCGTTAGCACTTATGGCCCTGCCGAGGGGCCAGCACAGGCTGCGGGGCGGCCGTACCCGGCGCCTAATCAGCCCTTAGGGGCTGCACGCCGCTCCCGGGACGTGTCCCGCGCCCGGGGCACCCGCTTGCACCCAGCCCTCCCCAGGCAGGGTGTGGGCAGCTCGCCGGGGCGCCCCGGCACCCCTCACCCCAGGGGGAAAGGCGGGACGGGAAGGGCGGGAAGCGCTGGCCGCGGGACAAGATGGGCGCGATAGGGCGCGGGAAGCCGGCCCCGGTGCCGGAGCGCACGTGTCCCGACGCGCCGGCGCGCGCTGCCAGCGCCGCCCCCCCACCGCGCCGCACGTGCCGGGGCCGCGGGGCAGGGCGGGCGCGCGCTCCTACCGTGCTGCGGCGGCGGGGCGGGCAGCCCCAGCACCAGCCCCCCGAGGAAGGCAGGCTGCGAGCTCACTTGCACCGTCTGCGGCCGCGACACCAGCTTGAAGGCGGCAGCTCGGGGCACCAGCGGCGGTTCGGCGGGACCCTCGGCGGTGCGGGGTGCCCGCCCGGGGCCCGTGCGGGGCGGCATCCGTGGGGCGGCATCCATGGGGCGGCCGGGCCAGGGGGAGGGCGGCTCTGAGGCGAGGGGCCGGGTGGGAGCGCGCGGCGGCGAGGCCGGGGTGCCCGGCTCCTCGGCGATGTGCAGGTCGAGCGCGGGCAGCGAGGCGGCCAGGCGCCCGCGGCGCTCGGCATCGCCGGCGGGAACGCTGCCCTGCGCCAGCACCTTCTTCAGGCCGGGGCCGGCGGGTGGTGCCGGGGGGCTGCCCGCGGGCTGCCCGCGGAGGCCGGCGACGCCGTTGGGGCCGCGGCGGCTCTGGAAGGAGGAGACGCGGGCCAGGCCGGCGGCACCGTTGGGCCGGGCGGCGGGGCCAGCGCCGCTGCTGAAGGAGAGGCTGCTGCCCAGGCGGCTGCGGGGTGGCGAGAGGGGCCCCTCGGCTCCATCCTCCGCCTCAAACGACTTCTCGAGCGCTGCGGGGAGAGAGAGGCGGTGCGTGAGCGCGGCCCGACCCCGGCATCCCCCCTGTGCCACCAAAGGGCCGTTTGTTCCTCCCGTCCCTCCGGGAAACCAGATCCGGGGCTGGCGGCCGCGCAGGGCTCGGGTCTCCCGGGYGCTTTGTGTGGCGCCGCTCGCCGTGGGGCCGGGCTCGGCGGGGGCCGCGCGCCCCCCGGCCGCACACTGACCCCTTTCTTCCCCTCCCGCCGACGGTAACCGGAGCCGCTCCCCGGATCYGCTCCCCCCTCTGCATCCTGGGCTCTGCTCCGCCGCTCGGGCACCGTCGCCGGCTCTCTCAGGCCCTGGGGCAAGGGGAGAGCTTGAGAGCACAGATGCAGACCATGCCCTGTCCCAGCCTGCAGCAAACCTGCAACAGATGCTGGGAAGCRTAATTACCCTGCTTTGCTTCCCAGATGTTAACTCTGAAGGCTAATGATGGTGAGGTAGGCCGGTACTACCAGCAGCAACACTGATGACTATACTGGGGTCATCTGTGCCCAAATCAAGCACCTAGCAATAAGTGACTGTGCCCAGGAGGACTTTCCACTTCGTCCAACAGAAGGACAGTAGGGTGTCCCATACATGTAGGATGAGAAACACCCTCCTTTGGCTTCCTTGAGGGTCAGCTCCCTTGAGTCCAGCCTTTCTGCAGRGAAAAGCTCCCAGCGGCTCTCACAGGCAGCAGGGACCTTTCCCAGCCCCTCAAGCTGCAGCTCTGCGGGCAGCGCAGACGCCGCTGCAGCCGCTGGGCCCCCACGGCACCCCAGGGCGCCCCACAGCTCAGCCAGGCCCCCCGTGGCCGCTCCGTGGGCGGCAGAGGCAGCAGCCGGAGCAGCCTCCCGGGAGCCGGAGCTGCCGCGCCAGGAGCAGCGGGAGGCCAGGCTGGCCGGGGGCCGCCCGCACCGCCCGCCCCCGGAGAGCGCGCGGAGCCAAGGCGCCCGCGGGGCGCACGGGACGCGGCCGCCCGGCSCACGCAGCGCCGCCGGCACACGGCTCTGCCCCGCTCCCCCGCGGCCTTGGCGTGGGGGCAGCATCCTTTTCCTCACGCCCCCTGTGCCCTCGGTGCCCCGTCCCCTCCCTGCGCTGCCCCAGGGCCGCGGCCCGGCACAGCTGGGGTCAGGGGCCGGCGCGCGGGCGCCTTAATTAGAGCTCTCCGCAGGGCAGGTATTTCTCCATCGCCCCGCTCGGGTGGCCGGGCCTGCCCCCGCGAGGCTGCCTGGGGCAAGGGGACACGGGGGGTGGCACTGCCCTCCCTGCGCCAGCCTCCCGCTGCTGGAGCGCCGCAGCCCGGCAGCACCCACYGTCCTCGTGCGCGAGCAGCACCCGCAGGTCCAGCCCCGCGCGCAGCGGGACGGGCGGCGGCGGGAGCGGACGGGTTAACGCGGCCGCMCTAGGTGCTCGCATTCCTCTCCGGGCGCCCCAGCGTCAGGTTACGGCGCCCGCTCCTCCCCACCCTGCCCCTTCCCAAGCCCCTTCCCGACCTGCCGCCTCCGTGCGCAGCGAGGAAGAGCGGGGGCCGAGAAAGGCTCCCTGCCCCCCTGTTGCCCTCGCCCGGCCTGGGGGCTGCCAGGGCAGCTGCTGTCCCACAGACCCTTCCCCACTCAGCACCCATCCCGTGTCCTGGCACCTTCCCGTTCCCGCAGCCCGTGCAGCTGCTCAGGGCACCCCGCTCTGCTCCGGCTGGCACCGGGCCTGCAAGGGGAGCAGGGAGCAGAGCATGGGGATGCCAGGGGGTCTCGCTGCTGCCCCCAGCCTGGGTGTAGCCCCTGCTGGCAATGCTGTCCATGCACAGACACTGCTCCCCTTGCCCCAAGGCTCCGCGAAGCTGCAGGGCGCAGTGCTGGGTGCCCCTCGCGCTCAGGCTCCTCTCTGCACCAGCACCCATGGGTGCCAGCCCGGCTGCACAACCCCAGCTCCACATGATGTGGATTCATTCCCAGCACAGGACCCTCCCAAACAGCCGCTCGCATCCAGGGTACCCCAACACTCCCCCGGGCACCCACCTCTGCTCTCCTGGCACCCGGGGGGCACGGGACGCCCCCCCCGCCCGCAGCGGGCCGCGGCGCAGGCACAGAGCACGCACATCCCTGCAGCGTGGGCCCCGGCGTGCCCGGCTCCCCCCGCGCAGGGCGTGTGCGCGCGCGGGTTGCGGCATGCACACACACACACACACACACACACACACACACACACACGCATGCAGCCGCCCCACGCAGCGCCCGCGTGCATGCACACGCCACCCTGCTTGCACACCCGGCGCGGCTGCTTGCACACCCGTGCACACATGCATGGGGAGGGCATGTACGCGTAGGTGGGAGTGCGCACCCACAAACCCGCACTCGTGCACGCACTCGTGCACACGCACACACGAGCCCGAGCGTGCACAGGCACCCACAGAAGTCGGTGCCCGCGGCAGCCCGCGTGGTTCRGAGCTGGCACACGCGCTCCCTCGCCCCGTCCCCGTGTCCCCGCGCGCCCCGCGCTACCTTCGAAGTCGGAGAGGATGCCCTCGAGGTGCTCCTTGACGGAGAGCTGGGCCATGCCGGGGGGCGGGCATGGGAGGCGGCAGCCGCCGGGGCCGCCCCGTCGGGCCGGGCCGGAGCCGCTGCAGCCCGCGGGAGGGGACGGCGCGGCTGCCCCGGCCGCTGTGGGCAGCGCGGGGAAAGGAGGAGGAGAAAAGCGAGGCGGGGGAGGAGGGGAGAGGGCGGGCGAAGCGGGCCCGCTGCGAGCCGCCGGGGAAGGGGAGGCGCCGCCGCTCCCCCCGGCCCGCCCCGGCCCGCGGCGCCCCCGGCCCAGCGCTGCCGGCCCCAGCCCCACACGTCCCTGTCACCAGCCGCCGCCCCTGCGGGCCCCGTCGCTGCCGGACGCCCCCATCCCACGGGTCCCACCGTTGCGCCAGGGTGGCTCTGCCTCTCGCGCCGCCGATGGCCCCGTCACTGCTGCTCCTGTGCCACAGCTTCTGTCATCTCCACGTATCCACACAATGGCACTGCCATCCCCAATGCCACCACCACCATCCCACGAGCTCTGCTGTCCCAAGGCCATCTCCTCCATGCAACAGCACTGCCATCCCCAGTGCCACCAGCCCAATGCCACYGGTTGTGCCTGCGCAGCACTGCTGGCCCCGTCCCACAGGCAGTGCTGGTGCTGTCGCCGCTGTCCCCAGGTCAGGGGCTCCGCAGCAGCTGGGGGCCACCCATGGACACTGCTGCGAGGGCTCCCAGGGAACTCCCGCTTGGCAGAACAGGGGGGAATGGCGCTGGCAGGGCCCCCTGTCATCACCTCTCAGCGGGGCTCCTTCRGGGGTCTCACTGGCCTCCTTATGCGTCCCAGTGTGTGGCCCGTGCCTCGCCGGGCAGTCCCCAGGGGCCAGGAGCAAAGGGTTAACCCAGCACCCAGCACGGGCGGCTGGGGAAGGAGCTGGCAGCCCCTTGCGGGAGCGGCGAGGAGAGGCGGGCGCCGCGCTCGCACCCTCGCTGCGAGGGGAAAGAGCCGCCGGCTCCAGCGCATTCCTGGGCCGGGCCGGGGGCGGCAGCCTGGCCGCCAGCCGCCCGCGCGGCCCCCGCGGCCCCATCCGTGCGGCACCCTCGCCCGGGCGCTCCCGGAACAGCCGCCCCGCCGGCGCAGACCCATCCCTGCCTGCGCGGAGCCGCTTCCCTGCCCCGGCTCGGCCGCAACATCTGGCAGACAGATGTGAGGAGAGGCGGCTCTGCCCCGCAGGGACCCCYGGGGCCCAGGGCTGCGCCAGCCCCYGTGCTCAGAGGGCACCAGCTGCCTGCCCAGCTCCCCCCGTCTGCCCCACGAGGGGTGCCCGTGGCAGCCAGGCGGGCACGGGAGATGCATCCCAGCGCTGGAGCTCTCCAGCGGCGCATCCCATAAACTCGGCGGTGATTTATGGAGCTGCCTCTGCCAGCTGAGCAGAGCCAGGCGCCGGGTTCCCGCATGCCCGGCCCAAAAAAGGCAGGGAGCGAGGGAGCGGGCGCGGGGGGAGYGCCGGGGCGCTGCACGTGTGCCCGCGGCCGCCCCGCACCGCCCCTCAGCACGAGCACCTACCTGCTCCCTGGGCACGGCCCGGGGCTCACARGGAGGGAGAAGCAGCGGGCACGGCCATGTGGGGTGCCCTGGCCCCATACGGGGACAGTGCGGTGAGAGCGGCRTCCCCAGCACCTCCTGCCCTGCAGCTGCCCGGCTCGGTGCCCACCTGCGCGACAAGGAGGAGCATTTCAGCAAGGGAGGTTTTTGCTCTCTCGGCTGCTGGGGAGGACAGTGCTGGGGCCAGGCGGCAGCCCGATATGGTGACATGCTGACATGAGGTAGTGAACACCCCACAGGGGACAGCGAGGGCCGCCCGCTCCGCTCTGCACCATGCTGGGGGTCACCACGCCGCTATGAGTGACCCGGGCAGGAGGGTCCCGGGCACCCGCAGAGCCCTTGAGCGGAGCTCAAGGAGCAGCTCCCAAGAATGCGGGTGGCTTYGAGGAGCGCAGGGGCTGTCCCAGGCCAGCCGAGCCCCTTGGGGCCTTCCTTGGAGCTTCTTATCAACACTGAGAGCTGCTCAGGGTGCTCAGGGGCACCTCAGAGCCACCTCAAGGTGACACGAAGCGGCTCCGAAGAGGTTTGGAGAAGCCTTAGAGCTGCTCAGAGTTGTTTGMGGGAGTTCTGGGGTCGCTTAGAGCTGTTTGCTCAGGGAACTTCAGAGGAATTACAGGGTTTTCTGGAGTATTTTGAGCGATTTTGAGCCGGTTGGAGAACTTCTCAGAGGATGTGCAGGGCGGTTGGAGTGCCTTAAAGCACCTCAGAGCTCTTGAGGAGTATTTGAAAGCCTTTTACAGGTGTTAGAGAAGAATTTCAGGCTGTTGCAGAGGAGGTTTGAAGCTGCTTTAAGGCTGCTCAGACCTTTGCAATGCCATTTAGAGGAGTTGTAGAGGGGCTTGGAGCCCTCCAGAACTGTTTAGAGATGTGACAGAAAAGCTTTAGTGCTGCTGAGAAAAATATTAGAATGGTTTAGAAGAATTTGAGGCCTTTTAGAGGACTTTCAGAATACTCTGCGTGTGCCTCAGAGCACATTAAAGACATTTCACAGCCGTTCACAGGAGTTTCAGAGCAGTTTATAGCTGTCACAAGACTTTTTTGGATTCCTTTTGAGCAATTTCAGGACTTTTTGAAAGAGTTTAGAATTTAAGTGCTCCTTCCTTTTAGAGGCCTTTTACAGCATTCGGAGGCMTTGCAGCTGCTTCGAGGGGTTTGGGAGCTCTGCAGAAATGGTTGGAGCTCTGGAGCTCTCCCGAAAAGCTGGATGCCCGTGGGGGCTGCTGCCAGCTCCAATGGTCCCTGGCCCCTAACGCCACCGCAGCCCTCCCTGCAACGCACAGGGCAAATGCAAACCCTGCCCCGGTGCAGCCCAGGGCGAGGGGACGCTGTGGGGCAGCACCCGGGGCCAGCCCCTTCCCAAGCCCCTTCCCTCCATCCATCCATCCCGCTCGCATCCAGCCCTCCTGGCGCTCGGAGCCGCCCCGGAGCAAAACAGGCCTCTGGGCAGGAATCGTAACAGCTTTTAATCCGACAAGAACCGATACATCATTTCAGACAATACTGTTTTTGCCTCGTGGTTGGGACTTCCTTCACAAACCAGTAGGGAAAGAGGAACGCTTTTGGGAAGTACGGGTTTTGTCTTTTTTTTTTTTTTTTTCCATAGGGACTTTAAAGCATGGTGAATGTGCAAGTCAGTGCTTTGTTTGCTTAAAACTTTTTCCCGGTGCTTATTTACAGTTACAGTACCTCTTTGTGAGCGACAGGAAAAAAGACGATTGTTTTAACTGGGGATCCACGCCCCCGAGTTCAGAAAGGCAAATCTCCGATATTTATATATTTATACATATATATATATGCTTTTGTGTATACACAGATACATTTCTCTCTTCTTTAAAGTATTAAAAAAAGATCAACCCTTCATTCTATAAAAATACCTACTCTACAAGATAGAAAAATTTCCCTCTCCAAGTATACACTGATTTACACCCAAAGCTTCTCTGGAAATGTACACGAGGTGGCTTCGCGCCGCGGGGACAGCGGCGCCCAGGGCTCCCCGAGCGCTCGGGTTTGGGGGCTGCGGTGGTAGCAGCACGTGGTGCCCCCCGAGAGCCACCAAGCTGCCCTGGTGCGCGGCCCTGGGCACCGCTCCTCTGCTCCCGGCGTTGTGCCGCTGCCTCCGGGAGCCGGCGCCGTGCGGAGACGGGAGGCTGGGATGGCAGCGGGACCCTGGCACGAGGCCGCGCGGGTTCTCTGGAGCCTGAGAGCAGCTCGGGGCAGCGAGGGCTGGGCAGGGGGCCCCGGTGCCAGGGACTTCGCCCTGTGGAGCTGCACGGGCTGCGGCATCTGCCACCTCGCCCGGCCAGCGGCCCCTCCAGGGAAAAGGCCGCTGGAGCAGTGCTCCGGCKCGGAGGCAGCCGTGGTGCGCGCAGCGCAGCCCTGCGTGGGAGGGCTGCAGGACAACAACGGCCCCCCTTCCCACCCAGCCAGCAGCCAAGAGCCACTTCCGTGTGTCTTCTCTTTCCAGGCCACCCTGGCACTTCCAAAACGTGACAAGCAGGAAAACTAACTGCTCCCTTGGGCCAAACACACCCAACAAAGCCGGACCCTCGGGAGGCTGATGGCCCTTGGCTTCCCTTGGGAGGCAGAGGGAAGCAGGTGCCTAAGTGGCTGCTCCCTCGCTCCGTGCAGGCACCCTGTGCCAGGGCTCCCTGTGCCCACAAGCCCAAAGCTCTCCCATGTAAACATGGCTTTTGGTTCCTGGGGAGCAATTCTTTTATTCTCCGTACAGTGGCCGCCTCCTCTCCCCGCTGGGATGGAGATTCCCATGCAGGAGGTTCCAGGGGCCGGGGTAGCGGCGAGGGGCTGCAGCGGGCTCTCCCTCCAGGCCTGCAGCCATCACCAGCAGAGCCCTGCCCCGAGCGGGCGCCCTGCCGGCCACACTGGCCCCAGGGTGGCCACGGTGGCCACCAACATCCCTCGGACACCAGGCACCGAGCCAGGCCGGAGCAGCCACGGTGGGATGGGGAGAGCTGGCCAGGACCAGCCTCCAGTGCAAGTTGAAAAAGTCCCAGCCTCTCCTGCAGTCCCTGCAGGCTGGAAAGACAGCACCGGTGTAACTAGGGCTGGGGCAGGGGGGCACATCTGCCCCCCAGGCTCCTGCCCTGCAAGCTCCACGCGGCCCCCGGCCCATCGTGTAACACCTGGAGCCTTGGGAGCTCACGAGGGGCTGCAGGGAGCAGGGCTGCTCTGCACAGCGGAGTCGGGAATGCAGGGAGCCACGGAGAGCGAAAATAAATAAGGAGGCAGGTGGCAAACTGCACCGAGGCCCCGTCCCAGAGAAGGCGGCTCCGTCCTGCCGGCAGCGAGCGAGGGAGGAGGCAGCCTGCCCTCTGCACCCCTTCCCAGGCCGGGCGGCGGGGCAAGCGCGAACTGTGCCAGCKGGAGGAACAAAATCGCATTAAGTTAATTAAAAAAAAAATTCTACAAGTCCAGGACATGTTTCCCTCGTTCCTAGGTCTGCCCCGGGGAGTGAGTGTGTCACGGACACTTTGGCAAAGCAGACCCTTGGGCTGGACGGGGCAGCAAGGGAAAACGTCGGCTCCACGGCTTCCTTCCGCATCCTTTTATCCTACGGCGCAGAGAAACCCTCTGCTCAGAGCCCCGGCGTGGGCAGCTCCCGTGGACACCCCACGCRGCGGAGCCTCACGGTGGGGACAGTTCCCGTGCGCAGCCACTTGCCAGCTTCCCTGGTGGCGGGGCCAATACAGGTCCTTCCTCTGCTGTCCGTTGCCCGTGTTTCTTCTCCAGGTTCCCTTTCACCCTCCAAAGGCAGGAGGGTTCCAAAATAACAGAGGCAGACAACCAAGCGTTGCTGCTGTTTTTCTTTTTCCCTGGTCCACTGGATTATTGACCCATGAATCCGAAGCGATGCTTCCTTGTGCCTTCATCAGGAACAAAGACATTTCGAGTCCTCTTTTTCCTCTCAGAGCACCAAATCCAAACCCAACGAAGAGCGAGCGACCCACGGCTCCCGGCTGCCCTTACTTCACTTCCAGGATGGAGGGGTTTGTCTCCATGATGGCCACGATGATCCTGTCGATGTAATCCTGCAGGCGGAAGTTGATCTCCTCTTGCTTTTGAATTGCTTCCATGAGCTGCGAGCGGGACAGAAAGGCACAAAGTGGTCACCAGATGCCATCATCCATGGATGGAAACATTTTCCTGCTGCTCAGCGCACCAAATTGTGCCCAAAGACATACTGGACTGAGGAGATTTCCTCCTCTTTAGCCTGGGTTGCTCCTCATCGAGGAGGACAGGAGGGACTGGTGGGACTGCCCTGAATCTTACAAGCTCCTCCATATCCAGACTGACTCCCTGCTTCTGCAGCAGGCTCTCGGCTCCAGCTAATCTCCCCACAATGCGAGTTCCTACAGGCCAAGCTTTCCATAGGTAACACTCCAAGAGTCACACCACACCACACCTGGGAGCTCAGACACAAGAAGCCAGAGGCCTGGGCTAGGGCACAGCAGCTGGGCACAGCTCCCAGGCTCCTGCTGTTAGAAGAGCACATTGTGGTACCTCTGAAGCTCAGCCCTTCCCCTTGAGGAGGTTCTGGGCCAACAGCATGAGAAGATGCCCCCAGCTCCTGGCCCAGCTCCTTAACTCTCCCCTCTCCTTCCTCAAGTCTCAGCCAGATGAAAGCAGGGCTTGCCACCTCTCCCCCTGGAACCCCAAATATCCACGTGCATTTTTCCCAACACCTTCCTCAAGATCCTATAGATTTAATTCTGATACTTAGCTTCTCCAACCAGTAATTGAGATACAAGCTACTGGAGCAGGGAGAGCACGTGCCAGAGGAAGAGATAGGAAGCAATATCCCTGGGATGGATGGCACTCTCTGAACTGCCCCAGGAGGAGAAGCACTATCACAGGTGGGCAAAGGACAATGTCCCATGGATCTTCAACGAGTGTACTGCCTGCACACTGAAGGGCATGGCTTTCTTCACCTCCAGGAATGGGGAATGTCCTGAAAACTTTTTGAAGAGTCACATGGATATTTCTTTGGCAGCTTTCTAATGGTTTTTGGGTGTGAGCTGCCCTACAAATTCCTGGGCTCCTCCCAGGCGCTCTATACACTGAGGGGAGATTAAACACAACAGGCACCCCAGAGAAAATGCAGTTTGAAGCAGGCAATCCCCTTGCAGCCAGTACCTCGTCTCTGGAGACGGAGCTGATCTCTGCAGCCAAGGACTCCGAGAAGGAGGCTGAGAAGAGGTTCTTGGCTCCCTGGATGCTCAAGTTAATGATCTGCCCATTCAGTTCATCGTTCTGCTCCTTCAGGTTCCTGTTATCCTGTTCACAACAGACATTTGTCAGATGCTGCCAAAGCATGTGGTGCCCCTGGAGCAGCTTGCTCAACCCTGACTGCACAGCTGGGGAAGATAGAGGCTCTTGTTCTATGTAAGTAACTAAACAGAGCAGAGTAGGAATAGCTGGAATAGGGTCCAACTTCACAGAGCCTTTAGACCATCTAAAGACATGGGATGTCCTGAAGACATCAAGGTCATCAGGATCTTAAGGAGCTTTAGAAACATGACATCCTTTAGAGGAACAAAGGAAACAGGCAGTCAAATCCAGTGCAAGATCTCGGGGAGGTTGAACACCACACAAGGTGGCAGTCCTAGGTCCACCAGAGAATCTGCCTCCTGCTTTGCAAGCCAAGCAGTTGATATGTTTCCTTCCCTGCTGAGAGCCAAATACCTGCTTGAGCTGCTTGATCTCCTGCTCCAGCTCGGTCTCCCGGGTCCTGCTGTTGTACTCCTGGAGTCCCATGCTGCTGCTCCTGCCTCGGCGCTGCTCGGCTTCCAGCTTGAAGAGCTGCAGGTGCTCGAGCTGCTTCCTGAGGTCCTCGATGAGCTGCAGCACAAAGGAAGAGGCCAAAGGCCTGAGCACCGTGTCCCTGGAAAGCCCAGCAGCTCGCACGGTCGCTGCTGGGGCACCGAATTGCCCCTGGGTCGCTGCGGCACGGCTGGCAGAGCCGTTTGGGGAGGCTCACGGCCTCCCTCTTCCCTCTTCCCAGCCAGCAGGAGCGGGGGCTCCTCCAAAACGTGCGAGCAGCGCCAGCCCCGGAAGGAGAGCGGAGCGGGAAGCTGCTGGCTCCAAGGGAGCAGCGGGAGGCAGAGGCCCTCCTAGCAACGCGGCCACTCGCTCCGGCAGCTCCCACGGCTCCGAGCTGCCTCCTGCTGCAACGGGAAGCCTTGGCCGGGGGAGAAATGCCATGAATGCCCGTCACAGCTGAGCGCCCAGCTCATCACAAGCGACTGATTTCCCTTTGGAGGCCTGAACTTCCTTTCCCACTGCAGCAGCGAGCTCTGTTTGAGCTCCTAGCTGGAATTAGCAACCCCGGAAAGGGCTCTCTGTGCCTCCCGCCCCCATTCCCCGAGCACGGGAGCTGGGAGCTGCGCCAGCTCAGGCTCCTGCTGCGGCCGAGCAGGGCAGGCTCTCACCCAAGCAGCCCTGCATCCCTGCCCGGCCCTGCTAACGCTTGCCAGAGCCGTGCACCACCTTCCTGGGATCCTGCCCGCTCCTTTCAAGCGGGACAGAAACAGGCCCTGTGGAGACCCGGCCACGAAGGCAGAGCCTGCCGGGGTTCGCAGATGCAGACACACACACTCAGCTGAATCTTAACAAAGCCAAAAGTGACAGATGCTACATAGAAAAGAGGCTGCGCTCTGTGCCCCAGCAGGACCGCATGCTGGAGCTGCCCCTCTCCCTGGAGCCGGGCTCCTCTCCGGCTGGATCAGCTTGGGAGAGGCAGGAGAATCTGCACACTACCCACCTCCTGCGTAGACTCCTTCTCCTTCTGAAACTGGTGCCGCTCCTGATTCAGCTTGTCCCCCATCTTCCTCTTGCTCTCCTGCTCCTCCGTGAGCTGAACCGTGAGGTCTTCGATCTCATCCAGCAACTTCTGCTTCTCCTGCAAGGAGAGGAAGCCCAGGAGTCCCCAGCCCCGTCCCCAGCCCTGCCTGCACCCTTCCTATTTGCTCAAGGACACGGCGCGCGCCGAGCACCGCAGCGAACGCGCTGCTCGCTGACGTGTCGGGATGCGTTGCCTGCTGCGCTCTCATTTGCTGTCTGAGGACTTCAGAGCCCGAGTGCTTTGGCAGCAGTAAGAGCTACACACCAAGACAGCACCACTGGAGGGTGAGATAGTAAGAGATGATCACAAAAAGTGATCCCCATATGGGAAAATAGTGGTGCTTGTGCAGCCTCTGGGCAGGTTGGTGGTGGTGTGGAATATTGCTTGGGCAGAAAGGCCCCAAGAGCCACCCTGAGATCTGCCCCCCTCAAAAACAAACCTTTCTAAAAGTCCAAAACACTAAGAAGACACCAGACCATGCTGGCATCCAATGGCCCATGCCACGAAGCAGCCAGAAAGAGCTCTGAAGGAGAACTCCAGCTCCCCAGCTAGGAGCTGGGCCTTGGGTGCTCTGGTCATGGAGCACAGCGCCAGCAGCACTACATGAGCACGAACTGCAACGTTAACAACAACATTCCTGTTTCAGACAAGAGGCAAGATATCAGCTTCTCAGCAGGGGCTTCTCTTCTCAGCAGGGAGCAGCAATAATTGCACCTCTCCCTGCTCATTAGCCACATTAACCGTGGAGAAACGAGCGCTGCTCTGCAGAGACGAGGAGCGAGACAAACTCCCTATGGCTGAGCCCACATAGCCAGGAACGACGCTGCTTCTCAAGCCTGGTGCTGGAACCTGGCTTAGGTTTTCATTTACATGTCTTAGTGCTTTAGGTTTTCATCTTTAATTTAGATTTGGAGACTTTAATTTGCCAGAAATGTGATCAACAATGTGGTAACATGTCCCCTCTGTGATTTGCACCTCCCTCCACTCTCTCCAAAAACAGAAATCTTGTCCAGCTCCCTGGGACTGGGTTATCCTGGCGAGCCTTTTACCTCGGCCTCATTAGCGGATCCTAGTCCTGAATCCCAGGTGCAAGGATAAGGGAGATAATCCCAGAGACACCCCAGTGCTTTGGAGACTCAGCGTGCAGGTCCCAGGGAGCACAGACTGGACGGGCAGGACAGGGAGCCAGACATTCCCGCTCCCTTCTCTCCCTTCCGACAGCTGCATTCCTGCAGCCAATGGTCCTGCACCCCGCTCCGGGAAGCAGTTTGATGGGAATAGGGGCAAGCTTCCACAAGAGGGCACGAGCACCTCCATAGCAAGCATGGAAAGGGCCACCCAGCCTCACTGGGTGCCACCGGCTGCTCAAGGAGGCTCAGCTACAGTGAGCAAAGCAAACAGGGGCTCTGTTTCACAAAGGCTGCATGTCACCTGGAGAATCCCAGCAGTTTTGTCCATTTGCTTTCAAGACAAACACTGGGAATCTGCATTTATAATGTTAAGGGATAGGTCTGAAGGTTTGCTTTACAAGGCTGGAAGACAGAAGAGGCTCTGAAGGGATTTGCTTGTTACATAAATCAGATTTTACATAGGCCTTTTGTGCACCTGGGTAATTCAGCTCCAGCCATGCGAGGCGGCAGATGCAAACCCAGAAACACAGCTCTGGCACAAGCCTCCTGAATCATAGATCAGCCTAAAACCAGAGCAGAAGGGTTTGCACCGAGCACATCAACAGAGAGCTGCAGGTGGGCAAAGCAGGACCTGCCAGGACAGCAGCATCCAGGGATTTGGAGCAGTCATGGCCCTTGTGAGGCATTTCCAGAGGCTGGGACAGACTGAGCCCACCCGCACACTGCACTACTGCGCTGTCCTCACCTCCTCGAGTCTCTCGATGTTGGCTTTTAAACAAGGGACACAGGATCTCAGCTCGCCGTTCTCATCATCCAGTTGCTGCAGCCTGAAACAACACAGACACGTGCTAAAAAAAGTCCTCTAAACATCCCAAACATAGAGGAGTTCAGTGAAACATCCCTAGGAATATCAAAGTGGCGTGTGCTAAAAGCAAGCCTGCAGAGATCTAGCTTTGCAAAGTAAACCCACAGACTTCCACTATTCCCATTTCTGTGGAGAAAGTGGGGTGATCCACACAGCCCCTGGGGAGTCCTTTGCCCAATGCACACTCTCCTCAAATGGCTCTAATGATATTCTTTTGGCCAAAAGCTTCATCACCTCCCTCAAACCTCCACCCTAGGCAGAGCTGGGGTTTGGAGAAGGCTTCAGCTTTGTGTTCTCCAGGTAAAGCAGCATCCATCTGCAGTGGCAATTGCCCCGTTACAAAAGCCTGGTAAAAATGCAACCTGCATATATCACTTCCAACAAGGGCTGTGCAATAGCAGAAAAAATTCTGGAAAGGCACCAAAATAAAGAATAAAAAAAAAAACCCAAACTCAAACAAATTTAACTGCCCCTCTTTTCTGAGGAAGCCAAGAGGCTACATGAAGCCTTCTGGCCAGGACACTGCCCGTGTGACAGCCCTGCCCTCCTGACAGGAGAGCTGGGGTCTGGTTCTGCTCTAGTACTCTCTTCTGTTCCTCCAAAAATACAAACTTCAATCACATTACGTTCCTACAGCAATGCTTCCCTCATTCAAAGGGGGAAAATCCTTTACCTCTAGACATGCTTCTGCTCAACTCAGGTCAATTCCCACTGCAGTTTTGGGAGCAGGATGAGGCATTTGCCATTTACACAAAGGTGAGTCACGCCTGCCCATCAGACAGACTTCCGTGGGTCACTCAGGTGAACAAGCACTCAAACAAACACCTTCTTGAACGAACACATTGCAGGGGCGACCCACTTAGGGAGAAATGAGCTAGACCAGAGAAATCCAAACAAAGAGTCCAAGACGAGGTTCAAAAACTGACCTGATTTCCTATTTTGGTACAAAGGTAAGGAAGGAAAAGCAGCCAAAACTCAGGGTTCACCGTGACTTTAGCTACAATTTTAAGCAAGTTATCCTCACTTTCTATTGCATTTTGTCTCCCCAGAGGCCGCAGCCACAAAGCATCAGCGTGTCCACGTAGCTCGAGAGAGATGCCACGACCTAGCCCTGCCCCAGCCCTACCTGCCCTGCAGGTTCTCAATCTCGATGCTCTTCTCTCTCTCCATTTTGCTCAGCAGCTCCCTCTGCTTCTTGATCTCCTCCAGGAGCGTTTGGTCAGCACGCAGCTCCTGCTCCTTCAGCTGCTCCTCGAGAGCGTTGGCTCTGCGGAGAAGAAAGAGTCACCACTGTGGTGGTGTCTCCACGACACGGTGCCATCCAAGGGGGTGCCAGGCTCTTAGCGTTCCTCCCACCCCACAAGAGCATCAGGAGAAGCCCACTGCAAAATACAAACACTGATTTTTCAAAGGAAAGTAAATCCAGAGGACAGTCAAGCAGCAGGCGTGCCAGGGCTTCACTCAGCTCCAGTAAAGGCAATGGGAAAGCAACACGGCCCCTGAAGTCCCCAGGGACGCCACTGTGACCAGGGTGACATTTAAATAAGCTAAGTGGGAGATGCTGCTATGGGTAAGACACTAGAAAGCATCAAGGGCCATTTTAAAGGGGAGGCCAACATGAGCGATGGGAAGCACAGCACCCACCTCAGCAGGCTGCAGTCACAGCACCCATCCAGAATAAGTCACTTAGTCTGAGTCTGGTCCTTCTCACACTTCAATGCCCCTAACCAAAAATATGGGAACTGCAAGTCCAGTTCCTCTATGGGCCAGCATCAACAGCAACCTGGGAGCAGTCCTGAGGCTGCCACTCAGTTCGGACCGTGGTCCCGGGTGCCCCAGCAGGACAGACGCGTTTGGCAGCACCTCTACCAGCCCATGGAAGCTGGCAGAGCCCAAGCTGGCAGCCCCAGTCACAGCTACTGGCTCTAAAACCACCCACAACCCAGCAAGGGAACCCCGGCAGCAGCCAGAGCTGAAGTCTGCTAGGAAATCGTGTGCTGCAACTTCTGCAATTGCAGAATCTGCACGGGGAAGCCTTCTGCCAGATGAACTCATTCTTCCACAACAGCAACAAGTAAACGAAGAGCTTTACTTGATTAAAAGCCAGTTGACACTTCTGGGCCAAGCAACTAAAGCGAAAACATTCTCCTCGCAGCAGAGTTTATCAGGGCTCAGAGAAACCTTTGTCTCACTCGCACAGTTCCACAGCACTGTTATTACTTAACAGTCTTATAGCTCTATAGATAAACTCCTCCTGGTTTATCTGTGGAGTGTAAATACATGCCTGGAAAAAGAGAAGCCTGTCAGATTAATAAGGAGAGTGATCTTAGAACAGGATCCAAAGGGCTACATCCCAGCCAGGCTCTGAAAGCAAGAGGATCAAGGTGTGCTGTGGGGAGCAGAGCAGAGCTGCACAGTGCGGGCCCTGCTGCATCTCATCCAGATCTGTTGAATGAAAGGAGGGCCAGAAGAGGATGAGTGTGTTTCTCTTCCCAAACGGGAGCATTTGGCTTCCTGGGAATTGTGAAATTCTCTCTTTCTCTAAGGCAATCCCTAGGGCACCAGTGAGCTTTGGGAATGGAAGGATTTGGAGACAGATATTAAAAAGCAATTAAAAAAAAAGGAGATAAAAGCATAAAAAAGCACTACAATGCCTGCAACTGAGCAAAGAAATTCAAAAGAGTGAAGTGCAATCTGGCATTTTTTTTTTACCAAGAGATGGGCAATTTGCACCTGTACAGCCACAGGTAATTCCCTGATCTCCTGGGAATTTGCTGGGGAGCCAGACAGCCACGCACAGGGTGCCGTGACGCTGCACACATGATGCAGAGGGGACACCCCGAACGCTGCTGCATGTCACCCCAGGCAGGCTTGGACTGGTGAGGATGGAGCTGGGAGGCTTTAATGCAATTTTCTGCCTGCCTCTCTCCTTCCTGCTGCCTCTTTAGCCAACAGCCTCGAGTGCTTTGAGAAGAAGCCCCTGCACACCCCACGGATGATGTGGGGAAGGCCGCTGAAGCACACGGGTGACATCGCAGGGGACACCGGACTGCATTTGAACGGCCCAGTGAGGATGTGCCGTGCTCCTGGGGTGCAAGGCGGGCTCCCTACCTGTGCACAAGCTGCAGGTTTTCCTGCTTCAGCCGGCTGTGCTGCTCCCCGTTGGCAGCCGTGTCCTTCTCCAGCTCAGTCACCCTCTTCTCCAAGAAAACAACCTGTGCGACAGGAGAGGGAAGGTTCAGCTGCTGAGACCAGTTAACAGAGCGGTACCGAGCAATTCCCCACATGGAATTTGGGGCTCCTTCCCAACTGGCTACCTCCAACTTGCCCATCTCACACAACTCACAGCATTAACCACGTCCTGCTCCAGACCATAGGAATAGTCCCTTGCTACAGGGACATTTGCTAGAGCTGACCTCGCCCCTGTGGAAGCTACCTTAAAACAAACGGGCAACTGCTAATGGAATCAGATAGTTTACTCCTTGATTTAAGGAAAAAAAATCCCTTTACGCTCTAGTTCTTGAATTTTGGGCGTTTCCCAAGGGACAATGCACTGCCAAGTGCTTCACTCTTTCCTTTGTGCAGAAACTTCATGGCAACCGCAGGAAAGTTTGGAGGGAAAAAGCCAACTGAGCTCATCAGAGCTCCAGTGCAACTGTCAGGATTTCCATGAGTTTGGAATAATCATCCCAGTATTTCAGAAAGGGTGTAACACAAAGATCTTGGATCCAAAAACATCTGTAAATAAAATCACGTCCTAGGAAACAATGCCACTTTGTGGAAAAGGACCCAAACCGAGTATTTTCTACCTGTACCCCCATGTTTTACTTCAGTCGTATTTATATTTTGAGTTGTTCTCTCTCAGTGTGGCATATTGTACAAGAGTGAAGGGGCTAGGAACGTGGCTGTATGTCACACACAAGCATTAAGTGCACGTGTGCTGGGGGGAAAACTCTAGGAGAAAAGAGTACATAGCCCCAAAATCCAGTTGTGACCAAGACAGGAACAACTGCAAGACAATTATAGCAGAACACAGTTAAACACACGTGTATTCTCCCTGGCACCACCGCTCCATGCAGTTCTCTAGTCACGATTCCAAACGGGTTCTTAATTCTAGAGATTCGCGACTGCAGCAAATGTTTGTACAAGTCACAATTCACCTCATCTTTAGCGTTCTGACTTTCCCTTAGCTATTTTTAGCTTGTGGTGTTTGAACAAAAGGTTTTTTGTCCTCCTGCCCAGCTCCCATCTTGCCCTGTAATCCTTTGCTCCTAACTCCCCAGGAAAACTGATGAGAAGCAGCACAGAGCCGGCTTTATATCCCTGTGGCAGGATGAGCAGTAGCAAGATACAGCAGAGGGAAGGAAAACCTTCCTTCAAATCAGATGACTTGGCTCATCTGAGAAAAGCAGAATTTGACAAATTTATTGCGAGATGCGAAGCAGAAGTGAAACTACAGTTCTGTTGGTGACACTCGAGCAGCAGCCACAGCTTCCTGCGGAGCAGGCACCCCTTGGGTCGTGATGAGGACTCTGCCCTCTCCGCTCCCCGCCACGAGAGATGCCACCTGACATTGGCACCGCTCCAAAGCTGGGAGGGGATAATGTCAACCCACTACACAGAGGTGTTTGCCAGCTGACCAGCAAACCTTCACTCCCAAGGAAGATATCAGGCTCCCAAACCCAACACAGTAACTCCACAATTGAACCCAGAGGGTCATTTTCCACCCCTTTAATTCTGGGCGCTTCAGACATCTCATCAGCTCTGATCTACCCTGTCAGCACGCAGTAAGTAAAGCTAAAACACAGCTTTTGCCCAGGGATCTCCAAGCATCGCAAGCCATGAACAACACACTCCAGGAGAGCATGGACACCCCCCCTCTTACCTTGTCCGTGATGTCCTCTTCTGTGCAATCCAGAGTATCCCGGTAGGACTCCTCCATCACCCCCACGGACAGCGTGCCTGTCTGATGCAACTGTCTATAACAGAGACAAACCACCCCAACCCACAGCAACACAACCATTAGGGAGAGCATTGCAGAGCACCCAGGCTCAAGATGCCATTTGCTAGCGCGGAGCGCGGTCGCCTCTCGCCTCCTCAGCCGCTGCCTCCCTTTTGCAGGGAGCTCCCAGAGCTCTGCTCCTTCCGAGGCTGCAGGAGTCACAAGCAGAGCCAGTTGGGGTCGGACCCTCTCAAAAACAGGGTCCTTTTCACCGAGCTTGGCTCCAAGAAGCAAACAAGGCCACTACCTCCTTGGCGGTCCTGGACTATGCGACCGAATTGGTGGCTGCTTCCTAGCTGAATGATCTTGCCCGAGTAAGCAAAGCATGGAGGTGGACAGATACTGTTGAGACTTCATGCTATGATCACTTGTTCTTGCTCTTTGGAATAAGAAAAGATAAGAGCTCACTCTCTCCACTTTCTTTTACGAACTTACTAAGGCTGTGCTGCCCAGCAGAGGACAGAGTACTCTGCTCTAGTCACTGATAATGCTAAACGAGGGGCAGCGGGTGCAACAGGAGGAAGGGAAGGAAAAAGCCCTGAACTTGTTGTGAAACACCCCAATCCGCCTCCCACCACCCACCGCAAAAGCCAAGAACAAGCTAATCATTAGCAAGGGCTTGCAACATCCCTGTGCACATGGCTTTGTTTGGATCTAAAGGCCACAGCTCTGTGGACCGCTTCATCGGCTCTTAATTGTTATATTATCGCTGAAGATAAGCTCCAAGCTTTGCATAGCAAAGTGCATACCCATTGCTACAGCGAGGGGCTGTTATGTTGCACTGTGAACTTTAGACAAACGCTGTCTGAAGAGATAAGTAAATAAATAAATAAGGACATTGCCAGTGAATTCCTTCTAATACTAGCCAGTGACTTTGGTAACGTGGCTGCACCACAGTCTGCTCTGGAGGGTGTGGATGGACAGCCTCATAGGGGACACCTGATGTCCCCTTCTATAAGCACAGAAGCAGTTCATATAGCAGAAGTATTTACTTCTAGCCCTTACGTGCTGCTGGGTTACCTGGATTTGCATTTCCCAAAGGCCAGAAGGGGAGCAAGGAGGCTGTCCAGAAAGGCAGAAGGCAAGAGGAAGCTGCACGGCAATTCTCTGGCTACTCTAATGCAGTGAGTTAGAAAGTCAGAGCCAAATGGAATCCCTGCAGTCAATCTTCTCTACCAAAGTAGCATCCTAATTCTTAAGCTGGTCCTTAAATAAGGACAAATGACCTGTAAGTGTCCTGAGTGCGACATGGAAACACAAGACAGCTCCTCAATCATCTGCCCAATCATCAGAGTCTCAGCCATGGAAAGGGCACTGGATATGAATGGAGAGGGGGAAGAAAGTCCAATCTCCAATAAAGAAGGCATATTTATTCCCAGAAGTTTAACCTAAACCCTTCCTATATTTGCTGTGCCAGAGAAGTGGCTACATCCAGTCGGAATGAGCCATCTGTCCCTGGAAATCACTATATTTCCAACCGAGCAGGCAAGGAAAAGCCAGCAGCACCTCCCGGAAGGGGCAGACGGAGCTCGGCGGAGCCACGAGCTGCACACGAGGACTTGTTCCTTGGGAGCATTAGAGTATCAGTCCTGCTGGTTCTGTCCTTCAGAGGAGGGAGGAAATTAATTTTTAACCATGAAAAGCTAGAACATGAGGGCAGCTTGATTCCAAATGAAAACTCCTGTTTTCTTCATCTGTGAATTACTCCTGCTTCACCAAGTGCCTTAGCAAGGGGGCAACAAAGCTCAAGAAATAGGAAGGCAAGGGACAAGGCTAGTCCTAAAACAGGAAGCCTGGAGACAGGCTGCTCCCTTCAGCCTTCTTTCCTGAGAGTGTTTTTAACAAAGATCTTGAAAGTGAGAGGACTGGAAGCAGGAAATCCAGTACAAGACCCACTTCCTTTCCAGGATGGGAAATGATGCCAACAGAGACTTGCTGTCCGCAGGAAAAATTAAAAAGGGAAAGGTGACAGAAGAGTTAGGGAGTGATTTAAAGCTGCTGCTCGACTCGGTGCAGCTGAGCATGGCTTGGGCATGACTTGCAGGGACCAAACCGAGCACGGGAGCCGGTGCTGGGGAGCAAAGCTCTGCTGGAGCTGCCGGAGCAAATGAGCACATGCACTTCCAGAGGGAGCAAGCACTTCCCAAAAGGGCTGTATTTTCCCCAAAACATTCCTCCTCAGCTTGGAAACAAGCAGAGGGAAAGCCGGAGGATCGGGAAGGCCATTGCCATAGGAAGCAGGATGGAGAGGCAGGCTGGGCAGCTACCAGAAGCCTCAGCATATCCTTAAAGTACAATGTCAAGAGAACGAGGAGGGATTGTGAGGACATAGACAGACAGACAGATGGACCCCAGGTTTCCTAAAGACAAGATGGACCCTCTACTCCAGAGACTGGAGCCAGGGCCCCCCAGACACATTGAAAAGCCCTGCAGGATGCACTGCGAGGTGCTGGGGAATATCGTGCAGAGCGTGGCAAAGCATAGCAGAGCCAGCACAGAGGGCGAGGGGAGGAGAGGAGAGGGCCCAGCAGGGGCATCCGAGAGGGATGTGCTCGTTGAGGACGTCCTCCCCGCTCCACATGCCCCCTTTGAGGGCACGCATGGGGTGGAGGGCAAAAAGCACCCTTGGTTTGTCCCACAATAAACCAGGTCAAGCCAGCCTCCAGCAACAAGCACAAGAGAAACCCCCATTTAAGAAAAAAAGGCTATTATGAAACACACCGAGTTAAACCCTGCTTTTCCCCAGGGATATGCAGCATGGCCAGAAGTAAGACACCATGAAGCTATTTGAGAGCCAGGCACATTTCTCAGCAAAGCAAGAACACAAACAGGAGCTTACCTTGCTACCTTCTTGCTTGAGAGTCTTTTATTTGGACTGTGGAGTGAACCAAAAAACAGGAAAGAGTTAGGAAAACCAGCAGCGAAGAGCAAGGGAAACAGGAAATTGGGAACACTATGGGGCACATCCTTTGCTATCACAGCACAGAGCGCACACACACACACCATGCACGGCCAGCACAGCTGAAGCAGCCCACATTAAAAAGCAGGTGCTGAGACCCTCCACAGATTTAGAAATGTTTTGATAATGAACCGCATAAAATGTTTTAATAAGATAAAATGACCCTGCAGAAATCTCACCGGCTCCAGCAAGGGTTTCCTCTCGCGACCGCCCGATTCCAGGCCCGAAAGCTGATCTCCAAGGAGAGTGCTAATAATAGACGTGAGTTTGGCGGCCTCAGCCCAGCCCCTGGTGACCCAGCCTGCAGGGCACCCACCCGGCTCCAAAACACCCCGAGCCCTCCCTCCGCGTCGCCCTTCGAGCCGGGTCCCTTCGCAGGTGCCGTGGGGAAGGATTTTCTTCTCTCTCCCACCTCCACCAGCCTTCCCACGAGTTTGCGTGCTCTCCGGTTCACATTTGTCCCAGATTATTCTCACTGAACCACATTTGGCTCCGGGTCACCTGGGAACAGCCAGTTTCTCACAATGCAAGGATTTTAGGGGCTGCGGATCCACGGTGCTTTCTGGTTTTGGAGCAAGGTCACCCTTGTCGTTACTGGAGATAAATGCAGGCTCTTTTGCACAGGTAGCAGTGAGATTGTGTCTCTGTGAGCTAGCCAGCTATTACTGTGCCCCCGTGGTTATGGTTTAGCTCACAATTAATATCACAGAGTGTAGGGATGTTATCCTGCCCTACAATTGCTGTTGGCAAGGAGGGACAGCAGTGTCTGCAGGCTCACACTTGCCTTGGAGTAATGGGAAGGAGCATCTCCCAAGCAAGTGCAGAGCTCCTGCCTCTGCTTCCACACAGACACACGACCCTCACCAAGCAGATGCCACCTGGAGCTGTTATGGACATAATGCCAGCACTAAACTACAGCAGCAAACCAACAAAAGCCCAAGCTAAGGAGCAGTCATCACATTCAGTGAGCTAAGCAGCTGGCGAAGAAAAAAAGACCCAACACAATCGCAAAGCCACGTGGCAACCGCCTGAGAGCTTGTTTCTCACTAGAGAAATGCAACAGCTACAATTAGTTCTTAGAAGGAGGAATTAAAAATAGCCCAGCACAAGTTTCTTTGTGGAGCAGCCCCTGGAAAACAACGCCTGGCCGGGGATTGTTGCTAGCCCTCGTGTCAAAAGTACATCCTCAAACAGGAGATTTCCAAAGAGAGCAGGAACCCCGTTGGCCAGGCTTCAAGGACGCTCGGTGGGGAGGAGGTCGGGCCCCGTCTTTGCCAGTAATTGCAAGAAGTCACGTATGGTCCTAGTATCCAACGGGAAGAAATTGTTTTTCCCTGCAAGCGACTTATCACAAACCGCTGTCGGTACCTTCGGGTGCATCTCACTAGAGGGTGTGACACTGTAACCTCTGGTTCAAGGGCACCACAACCAAAAATACTGCGGGTCGTTGTCTTCAGGATCCACCCCCAGGGCTTGGCAGCTTCCTCAGTGCAATGCAACGCTGTTCTGTCCAGATTTTGGTCGCATTTCTGCTGCTCTCTTAGCCTGCAAACCACAATTTCTGTTCGACGTTGCATCTTCACAGTGCTAGTGATGTCAGGAGCAAACGATCAATCCTGACACGTCCCAAGTGCTGCCTCTGAACACGGTACCTCTCATTTGCCTTCACTATATAATATGCTGAAAATCCAACTTCTACCAGGTCAGTTATGTCACTTATCCCTCTGCTCCTGCTTTGCAGCTCTTCCCTGGTTTTGCACAAACCTAGGGACCATCCTGGAAGACCCGGCGCTCACGCCAAAACAGTCTGGTTTTGGCAGCCTTGCTTCAGGACATTCTTGAGGTTTCCATTTTTCACCAGTTCCTTTCTGCTCCTTCCACCACTATTCCCACGCGCTCTGGGCAAAATGAAGGGCAGGGAGGTGTCATCAACCTCACTTGCTGTCTTCCAGTGAGGTGGAGCTGTCCCCACTGTCCTGAGCCCTTCTCCTGCTGCTCTCAACAGGGCACAGCTTGTGCACTGGATGGTCTTCACTCTGCTGATCTTGGAGCTTGATGGACCTCCTGAAATCCCCATCACACCTTCAGATGTGAGGGGAGCCCCTGGAAATTTGTAGCTCTTTTTCTTCTTGCTAGGCCAGATGCTCACACTAACATCAACGTTCCTTCCCATGAAAGTTTTGTGTTTCATTCTCGATCAGTCTTTCACACATGTTCCCTTTCTTCTTTGGAGAGAATATTCCCATGCCACGGACATTCTGGAACTGTGCTTGTTGTTTTTCTTATGCAGAACCAGAAAGGCTCTTCCCAACTCCAGAGAACTTCTGCAACCAAAACACCAACAGCATCAGTGTGCTCAGGCCAGGCTTCATACTTGCCTTCTGTTGGATGCCAAATTTACATATGAAAACTGCAGCTTAAACAACAAGTCGAGATCAAAGCAAGTACTACTCAAGAGAGGAACCTCTGGCAAGTATCTTTTTGTTGGTTTAGTCTTCAGATCAAGTAGAAATGTGGAGCAAGAGGCTGAAATCCCGGTCATGGAAGCAAGACAGGCAGAGTCAGCCATACATCATGGCCATAGAGCCAACAACCCACACTAAAGCTGTTTTAAGTCCCAGAGGCTTCTGTACATTAAGAGGCACTTGTAGTACTTCAAAATACTAGTTACACTCACAACACACACTTGTTATGCAGTTTCTTCTTACCAATTCAGAAAGTTAGATAAACTGAAGGACTTTGCAGGGACAGCTGCAAATTTACACACAGAGAATTGTGAGCACAGATGGAGGAATCTCATCTAGTCACCATAAGCCCAAAGGGCACATGTTAAAGGCAAAACAATGTGCAAAAAAAAAAAAAGAAGGTTCACTCCAAACGATGACCTGGAACAAGGTAAAGAAGAAGCTGCACCTCCAACGAGTCAAAATTGATGTCATTCCCACAGAGACACTATGGGATCTGGAAACCTCCTCTGGAAATCCCATCCTTCACATCACATCCTTCAGAGTGTGCTAGTTCAGCCTTGAACGCAGGTTTGGTGGAGAAAGTCTGGGTTAGTGAAGCTGCTGGTGCATCCAGGGAAGTCCAGCATTCTCCTCGTTATTTGCACAACCAACTGCACTAATCCTCAAGGCCTCCCTAGAGACTCATAACAACAAAGGCAAACATTTGTCCGAGAGAGGCTGAGAAGAACATTTTCCACAAACAAGTTCCTATTTGTCTTCCAGCTCTCTTCCCTTAGCTGCAGCCCAGGGGAGTTCTCATTTGGTGTATATATATATATATATATATATATATATATATATATGTATATATAGGACAGGCCCAGAGCACGAACATGACCAAAACTTGAGCTTGCAAGAGCATGGTGCATGCGAGAAGAATGACCATTATTAACATTAGCCTGCTATCCTTCAGTCTAGCAGACTGCAAACAGGTTAGAAAAATGAATATAACGTCTTCTTCATTTGCCAAACCAGCAAGTCAAACCGCTGGCTGGGAGAGCTCGGAAAGTTACTTTTAGAAACTCCTGAAGTTGCTATATGAAGGTCCCAGCATTTAGCCCATGGATAGACAGGCACCTGGAAAACCCAGCTGAAATAAGATTTCACTGCTGAAGCTTTGAATACCTACAGAAAAGGTCCCAAGTCCTAGAGAACAAGCTGATGTCCCCAAGCTACTGCTGCAGCGGGGGGAAGGATTGCTCCAACCCTTCCAGATTTGAATCAGCAACTCAGAGGTGCTTCTTGTTTGTTTGTGACCAGCCAAAAGACCGGGCGGTCATTTCCTTGGTGACAGAAATACTGTACGTGCCCAGCTTAAAGACTCCATATCCCGTCTGACAGACTCCGTTCCTCGGAGCACGGTGAAGTGCTGCATTCACATAACACTCAACAGGACGTGCAAAGAGACGGATTAGAGCGGAGTGGGAGACTCCCATTGTCTGTCAGCCCCCGTGGTTCCCATTCCATGAAACTTCTGCATGCTCGCCATAACCTTGTTATGGACCACTTGGAGAGGCTCAGGGACACTCGTCCCCTCTCAGAAAGCCTAATAAAGCACCACGTTGGCCACGGAAAGCTTTGCGAGACAAGGGGAGCCTTCCCTTCTCCAGAACATCATTCCAGCCCCTCAGATTGCCACGCACAAGATTACCTATTCATTTCAAGATCATTCAGGCGAGCAGAAAGATCCTCAAGGCGGTTGATTTGTTTGTGGCACTGGCTACAGTAAAACTCAAAAGCTTCATCTGCGATAATGCTGTGCAGTTTCGCAGCGAGCGGATTGGTGCTAGAGAAATCACAAGTGTCAGTTTAACAGGACAGAACAGATGAACCCGCTCTCGTCTGTGGCTTCCACAAGCTAAGGGCGCGTTTGCAAGGGACAGTTTCCAGGCAGGGAGGTTTTTTTGTGTAAGATGCAAGTTTTGCAATTAAAGATTTCAGGGCAGACTGCGGTACCCTTTACACTCAAACACGAATGAGTTTTTAGAAGTACAGCAGCAATCAGGATGGGGCTGCCATAAATTAGCTGGATTTCTATTACTCCACTCCCCCCAAAATTGCAAAGGTTACAAGTGGTGAATTTGGCCCATGGATCCGAATCCACGTGCCAGCCTGCCCTTGTGGAACAACCTCCGAGAGCCCCAGGAACGTCAGACGGATGCTTTGCACAGACCCGTGTACCTACAACATTTATAAGCTGTCATCACTTCCCAAGCAACCTGTCTCAAACGGCCCCAGGGATCTTGCTGATTCGCGCTGTCAAACGCAGCCCGAACCCACCCGCTGCTGCTCACAGCAGTGAGCTCGGGAGCAGGGGGGCTCTGGTCAGCCACACCATTTTCCAGCAGGAGTATTTTCAAAACAGAGCAGCTGTGTTGCCAAAGTGCTGCTGTTCGCAAGGCACACCAGGGAGCCAGATTTTCACTTCAAAGAGCTGCTGTTTGAAGCTTAACTCTAAAAAGGGGGATAACATTCAGCTTTTGTCACTTCTTTTACAGAGCAGAGCATGGGGATTCTCATGGGGCAACTCAGCCCTGCTGTTCAGGAAGAGAAAGCCTGAAGTTCATTGCTTGGCATGGATACATGGAGCTCTACAGGACTTACTTTGCCTTATTAATTCCCATGCCCCACGGCTTTTGGGTTTCTCACATGCAGAGCAAGCTGCTCAGGTGTTCGACAAACTAGGGAGCTGTTTTCCCCAAGAGGCGTGATTTGGCTGATCGTTTGGCTGAGAGAACCCAAAAAGCAAAGAGTTTTTAATCTGTTGGGGCCAAACACTCACCACAAAGCCCTCCTGCCAGCCAGCACGCTTCTGGAAGCCACAGACTTTAATCAAAGTAAGGTTAATAGTGAGAAAAAAAAAAAAAAAAAAAGGCAATTCAATAAGACAGACAGGTAAAAGGTGTGAGCAAACACAAACAAGCTTAAATCCAAAAGGCATCTACAAGGACTGGTCCGCCCAGTGACACAGCTCCACGCTGGCAAGTCCTGGTCCCGGGAGAGGCTGGGCACTTCCAGGCCATCCAAAGGGAAGCTCCGGCTCTGCGCCTTGGCATTGCCCCTGTCTGGCTTTGCTGGGGGGGGTCAGCAGCCCAGCCACCCCCGGGGCAGGCCCGTGAGTTCATGCCATTCTGTACAGTATTTCCTAGCCCCCTTAGAACCAAGAAATGGACATTATTAAGCCCCAAATTCCTCATCTCTTCCCACGCTCAGGAAAAATTTGGAGAACCTTCTAGGGCAGGTTTGGTCTGAGGAAAATCGCTGTCCACCAGCAGTCACTTCAGCTGTATGAGCTGACAGCAGCTTTGCTGTGTCCAGAAGCAGCAAGGTGCCTTTTCCCGGGCTCTGCCTCCACATTTAGCTTCGTGCAAGCCCTGTTTAGGGAGTGCTCCTCCCTGCAGCAAGTCCACAGCACTCCCGGAGAGCAGAGCCATTCGCTCCATCCACAGACTACTATGCGACACCCAAGCTCTAACCTACCAAGCATTAGCAAAGACGTGGAAAGCTGTTAGTGAAGCATAAAACAAAACCCCCAGGCCGCCCTCTCAAGGTTTTCGAGTGCATCCAAGTTCACTGGGCCGCTGGCCACGTTGATTTTCTGCCAGGTGAGTGGGTGAAGGTTTAACCGTGCTGCGCTGCAGGGCACCCCTTGGGGCAAACTGCCATCCTCGGCACCATAGCAGGTGGTGCTGCCTCCTCCTCCACCCCATGCAGTCACGTTGGTCTCCTATAGACCATTTGGTGTGGCCAGGCGAGGACAGGTACAAGAGGAGCTTTTACTTCTTGTCACCATGCATTTCTCACCAAGCATTGCAGAGACATCCCTCTGGGACTGCATGAAGTACCAAGAAGGTCCTCTAAGGCCCTTGGTTTTCTCATCAGCCTTCTCATGAGGTTATTCCAGAGCTGCAGCTGAAAACTTCGCTGGTTTTCTTCCTATTTAGTCGAGATGTGTGGTGATGTGACCACTTACAGGTCAAACTTGTGCTCAAACCACAGCAAGACAGTTCAGTTCACTGATATCCTATGGTTCTTTACAAGCTCCCACTGTTTAAAAGTGCTCAGAAGGTAGGACTCTGGTGAGGAAAAACAGCATGTTCTTAAAATATCAGCTAAGGAATTTCAAGTCCACAATGATAGCCCAAGGTAAGGGCTGGACCCAAAAGTGAGGAGGAAATCCTCTGCCTCAAACAGAACAACATTCTTGTGTTTTTTAGGGTTTTCTCTGCGTTCTGCCTTCCCAGTGAGCCCCAGCAGTGAGGGCACAGCACACCCACGGGGAACACTGGAGACATGCAAAAAGTCTTGGGCTCTCAAGTTAAAGATATGTTAAAGATAGTTAAAAGTTATGTAGGGAGCTCCTGCAAATTTTACTGGGGTAGTGAGAGGGAAAGAGCATCCCCTATGCCTGCACTTGGGCCACAAACAAGCATAGGGCCCCATGCTGAGTTAACCTCTCCCAGCAGAGCAAGGATGCTGCAGAGCACGAGCTCATGGAGAAGAGCAGAGCACACCAAGAGCGCGCCCTGGCACAGCAGAAGTGGTTTCAACACGGTGCACACATAACCCGAGAGCTCAGAACAGACACTAACTTAAAGGTGAAACCGAGTACCAAACTACTCGGCTGAGTAGTTGTTGCCAGGAACCTTCTGGACTAGTTTGGAGGCCCACATAAGAAATAACTCCGAACAAAGACCACGAATAGTTTCTATCCGATAATACTTCCTGCCATGCTGTAGCACCAGGACGGACAGCTGTTTCCAGCAGACCCGTCCCTCCAGGCTGACGGGAGGACAAGCGTGTGCGAGTGAAGCGTTCAACACATCAAGAGCTGCAGCACTGGTTCCCGAGGCAGTGGCACAGCTGTGCTTTATGGCAACACCAGCAGCAGCTTGCTATTGCAGCCTTAGCTGAGAAGTTCAAAACTGCTGCCTAATCAGAGAAACAGGAAAGAAAACCCTGACCTGCAGCAAAATGCACGGGCATGGATTTCAAAATTGTGACTCGACACGGCTCAGAAGACCTGCTTAAGCTCTACAAAGAGCTTTGGGAATCTGGTAAAAGGAGGCAGGGGGCAAAATAGTTCTGGCAGGTTTGCAGACTGCAGAAAGTCCCGGGCACCTTCCCTCTGTAGCACTGCTGTAGGTGGCATCACAAGGAAGGAAACGCATTCTCCTCCTCCTCCTCAACGCAAGATGCGGCCATCAGGGACTGCTCCCGATGGACACGCGTATCCGCCGCTGCCTGCCACCACAGGGACTTGCAGGACTGCAGGAGTGGATGATCATTTCAGCTTTTAGCTTTGTTTCCTCCCAGAGAAGCGATGCCTGGTTTGTAGCTCTTCAGTCCACCCCGCACAGGGTCAAAAGCAGCTTTTGTTGGGTCTCAGGTTTTCTGCAAAGCCTGCAGGAAACATTATAGCAGCCTCTTTCCCACTCCGTGTATCCCTTAGGCCTGTCTGTGGAAGACAGGCTGCACCAGGCTTGTGGCAAACCAGCCGAGCATCATACCCAGGTCAAAAATGCAGGCTTAGGAAAAGAAAAAAGGTGTCATCCAACAGGAGCAGGAATAAAGTTGTACGGCAGCTTTGTCTGCCGGAAAGAAAGAGGAGTCATAACCCTCAGAGAACAAATGTGATGCATGGGAAACTCGGACTATTCTTTGAACATTCGTGTGTCGAGATGGGAAGACAGAAACTGCTCAGGAAAATGGAAGATTGAGGGAGGCAGCTCTCCTCTTCTTCAAGAGTTGATTAGTCCTTTGTGTTCGAGCCTTGTCAGGAACACCCTTTTGCAGGCCAAGTTAGGGGCAAACCCAGACAACTCGCACACACAAACCCTGGATGAAGATGCTAAGCAAGAAAAAACGGTTAGAATTTCACCAGCGCTGGCCCGCGCATTACCTGGGAGAGAGGAAAGAGGAGCTGTTAAAGCTGCTTTCCCCATTACACAAGCTGTCCGAGAACAAATCCGCTTCATTCCCTTCTCCATAATCCTCAAAGTGCTCCTCTCCGCTGATTACCGTAACGATGGAGTGGTTGAGGTCGGGGCCCAGGGGGAGGTCGTGCGGATGGGACCTGCAGGAGCAAACAGAAGGGTGTTACAGGTTGGTCATGCAGCTGCCTTCCCAATTGCAACTATTGCATCCTTTTTGCCAAGTTGTGTTTATCATGAGCTGCCATTTCAGCAGCCCAGCTCTCCTTTGCAGCACAATTCACCCTGGGCCACAAACACTGGTCAGGCAGCCCAGATATCCCACAGAAATTTGCAGCAAGGTTTTGCAAACCAAACCAGGACTTTTCCATGCGAGCTCCTTTGGCAACCAAGGTACAGTACTTGGGGTAGACAAACCGGCAGGACAACATCGTGGCCCCATGGCACAGGCTCATCCAAAAGCAGGGTAAATAAAAAGCTCATTGTGCATCCAGCACACACCCAACGTGTTCAGAGTTAGCGAGCCAGCCTACAAGCCAGGCTCGCATTCACTGAGTGCCTGTAATCCTATCAGGAGCCTGGTACCAGGGCTTAACACTGTAACCCGCTGGTGACACAAATCCTGCCCCTTTGCAGGAGGTTGCCCTTCCCAACAGTGGCATTCCCGGCAGTACAAAGGAGCCCCTTCCTCAATTTCTTTGGGCAAAATGTTTCACGCAGTCCTAACAATTTAGGATTGATGCTTTTCAGGTCTTTTGAACACTGGCTCCCCAAGCCTGTACTGCATCAAGCCACAGATCACACTCATCACGGATCCTGGGGTCTCCCTTGCTTCAGAGGGGACACTACTGCCCTTGTAAAGTCATCATTTTTTTGTATTATTTAAAACAAGCAACTCGGGACTCTACTTCTTTAAAGTGAAGGCTTTAAAGTGAAACTGGTAGCGTGGGGATAGAATTTATAAGGATGGATCCATGGGAAATGTCTGGCTTATCTACAAGCAAGCCTGCATGTATGAGCCACATAAGTGTTTGAGGCAGGGGAATTAATATACTTCTCCTCTCTAACATCCCAAACCGGAGGGCAGGGCAGGGAGTAAAACCTGGTATTTTAGGAAACACCCCCATCTTCATCCATCTGCTAGGCAGAGGAGGTACAACTACATTGTTGCACTAAATCCAAGAGAGAAGAGATTACAGATAAGTCATTTAGGACAAAAGTCTGTAACATCAGAAGGATTTGCCCTTATCCTGCTACTGAAAACATGTCAACCCTCAAGACAAAACAGCAGCAAATCTCTACCGAGCAGCAAACAAATCCATTCCAGCCTGTGGGCATCAGTGCATCTTCCCAAGCGCTTGAGAAGCCCTGTTATTTCTGTAACAAGATCTGTCAGCAACTGAATCTCCCATGCAGTGAGTCAGACACTTCACCCATCAGACCATTTTAAAAAGCACCAAAAATCTGCCCAGAAATAGAAGGCAGGGGGTGGAATTTTTAACTTAGCCAAGCAAAATCCCACCCCAAATTTCCAAGTACAGAGCTCTGCTTTGACAAGCACCTTGCCGAAGCAGATGTGACCAGGCACCGGCAGGATCCCTGAGCCAGGGAAACTTCAGGCACAAGGATTTCAATACGCCTATTGGGGCTCTATCAGTTTCAAGATCTAGAGCTCAACTAATCTTTACTATACACAGCAAAAATACCTACTTAAGCTCCAATCATTTCAGGTATGTTGAGCTTTAACAGCTGCTGAGAACCAGTGCTCAATGTCCAAGCTTTCATTCAGTCTGCCAGGTAGGGTTTTACCTACAAACTGTTCCCTGGAATAGCTCTGGACATCAGAGATGCACAACTGCTGCCCTGCCAGGGCCCTGAAGGCACCAGTACAACTTCTTGGGAATAGATCTCTAAAGTCTTCAACCTCAAACCTTCTAACCTTTAAAGCAAAAGTCCAAATTCAAATGAATTTCTGCTTTGAATTATTCAGCTACCTCAAACTTGCACCCAGCAGCAGCGCAGAGCATTTCCCTTGGGCAGAGCACCTGAAGGACACCAGACCTTCCCAAGCCCATAACGGCAGCGCTGGGGCGACTCTCAGAGACAACAGCATGAAATAATCCCCAAGCCAAGTATTTTGTACCTACAGGCAGGCGATTCCAAGGCACGTCATTTCCCCGAGAGGACGCGGGCGCATTCAGGCTGCGGTGGCCCCTCCGAGCACACGCCGAGCTGATTGTGTGCTCCACTTCAACAGTCCCCGAGCTGAACGCACTCGAGCAGGGAGCAGAGCCAGCTAAGCTAATTTCTGCTCTAATCCAGCACCTCCAAGAGCCAGCCCTCCTGCAGCCGCAGTGCAGCGCGCCCAGAAGCATCAACTCCCCGGGTCCTCTGTATCCCTGCATGAGCTTTCAGGTGCAACAGGAAGCCACAAAACCCCTCCTGCTTTCTAAAAGCAAAGGAGAATATAAATCCTACACTATATATTCTCCTTTGCAGAAGCAAAAGGAGAATATAAATTCTACACAGAGCCCCTGCCCTGCAAAATAAAGTTATTACTTCCCCTCCTGCCTTCTTAGCGTCCCGGTTTAATTCCCAGAACAGCTTTCCCTGCAACATCGAGGAGACGAGGGCAGCTCAGGAGCAGCTCTGCCAGCAACGGTTCAGGCTCTGCAGGGAAGAAGCTCTTAGTTCACATTGTTCTGCTTCAGGCAAAAGATTAAAACTGGTTATTAGAGGAGATGGTTGCACAAAGGGTGCACACGGGTTTAGGAGAAACACCACCACGATGAGTTCCACTCATGGCTTGCAAAATTATATGTTGCACTTCTGGCTTCTTCAGTGATAAATTAAAACCTGCAAATATTTCAGGTGTTTAAGTCATCTGAGTGCTTATTTTGGAGGTGAAAGATGCTAATGAGACAAGGAAAGCTCTCCCAAGGCAAGCAGTGATTAGCTCAAAATATGACCAGGTCAGGTTTCATTAAAAGCTATCACGTGGTGCAGTCAAATTATTATTAAAGAAAATATACTTAGGTATTGCATGCAATTATAAATACTGGGAAGAAATCAGTTTTAGAGCGATTTAGCACAGCATCCTCACAAAAGAGACAAAATGCATCCTCTGGATGCCCTTCCTCAGTCGACTACTTGCAATACGCTACATTTTTTAACCCACACTTGATTCTCCTCCTTCTCCCTTCCCTTGCCCCAACAATGAGCACCACTGACCCATGCTCGGGCTCCTCGATGGGGTCCGTGAACTCCGAATGCACCGTGGAATCGATGGCACTGTCCGTTTCGACCTCGTCGTGCATCTCGTGGTGCACTAGAGTGCTGGTGTCTTCATCCGTGAAGGTTTCACACTCGCTGTACGTGCTCTCTGAGCCCATGTAAGCACTGTCGGTCACCTCATTTGCCTGGTATAAAACATAAGATGGGAAAAAATCAGACACTTCATGAGACATTAGCTCCTCGGGTTCATCACCAAGCAGGACAACACACACGTGGGGCAGCTCATTGGTGCTGCACTGCATTTCTAAGCACAGAAATCCAACCTCCTAAGAGCACCGCGAGCCTCACGCCGTGTCCGGGCCACTCTGTTGTCTCCATCCATCTGCTCCCGGCTCCATAGTTAGCCCAAATCCCCCTGCCTTTGCCGTGCACTCCGGCTCCCTGACACGCTTTGAAACATCAGTGCTTGGAAAGCAGACTGTAGAAACAAACATACACTAAATAAGGCTTCAATAGGGATTTTGCTGAGAGTAAATTTGCTTTTTCAAGTCGAGGAGTGATTACTCACTGCTCAGTGAGCAGTTCTGGGCACAATTTATTTCAGCCACTCTGTTTTAAAGAGGACAAAGCTACGAATCTGGATTCTCTACCAGCAGCTCCACTCACAGCTGTCTTTTAAATCCTAAACGCTTTTCCGATAGCAATGTGAGGACAACATCCATTCCTTAACCATAAAAAAAGCTGGTTTAAATAAATTATTACAACTCTTTGCTGGTGCTGAGCATCCTGGCAGAGGATGGTCATTGCACAGAAGAAAATTAAAGTTTCTTGGGGCAAGTAAAGGCTGAAGAAAAAGAAAATGGGCAAGCAAAGGCTGGAGCTCCCGTGTGTGCTGCACACAAGCACTCACTAAAAGACATTTCCCTCCTGATATGCACCAGGATCCCCTTCAAGGACTCTTGTTGTTGCACCCAACATACCAGGCATCTCTCCCAGCACAAGGTCGTTCTTTGAACAAACCTCAAAATAAAAAGACAGCCCAAAAAAGGCCATTTGCTTCATCTGAAGTTCCTCCAACCAGGTCAAACCTGCTCTGTAGATATTTCACTCCGAGATTTCTCCAAGTCCGTCATTACTGAAGAGCAGCATTTGGAAAAAAAACACACAAGGGCAAAAGAATAAAACAGCTACTAGTGTAATGTTGGTTCAGATGTATATAGCAGGGTGGAAAAGTCCTGCCCACCACTATAGCCCTTGCTCTTTGGTGCAATGGCAGTTTTTGAGGCATGTGCCATCTCTGTGTAGCAGGAAAACACCAAGCCAATGGAGACAAACATATTTTTGCCATCACACTGATTAGATTTAGCAAACACAGCTGCTAGCAGCCCACACTGGGACAGCTCTGCAGAGGCAAGGCCTGATTCTCTTCTCTTGCAGATAAAGACTTCCCAAACCAAAGAGCTTTCCCGTTTTTCGCCAGTGTAAACAGGCTTGAGATACAACCAAGGTCTTGCTCACCAGCCTAAAGCCTGCGACTTGGTGGGAAAAAGCAGTGCTCAGAATCCTCCTCCCAGCACTACCTCCTATTCTCTCTAAAAAGTATTTGTGATCAAATACAAAAGTATTTGTGATTTGTGTGTTCGACCTGCTGTGTGCAGGTCCTCATACAGACCCGTTCATTTCTATGGTGCATAATTACCCATTTCAGGTTAAATTGCATGTTGTAGTTACCACATACAAAGTCTTTCGTTAGCTAATGATCTTCACTCACGATTTCTCAGACTACCTCAATGCATATGATGCCAAAAGGCTACCAAGAATTTGTACAAGTGCTCTGAACAGAAGGATCTCTGCCCATAGTAGGTAGGCTCGAGATAGAGAGACAACCAAATGAAGTGCGTCAGTGAATTGTCTCTACAGAAACAGGTCATCTCTGCCGAGCTACATGGGGACTGTTTAATAGCAGTTTGGTTCATATTCTACACACATTTGATAGCAAAGGAAACGAGTTTGGCAGCTGGAGGACGGAGACTGAGCAGTACACACACCAAGACCCTCTTTCTGAAGATGGGTTTGAAGATGGGCTTTGATGGGTCATGCTGACCTACAGACATCACCAACTCTCTCCAAAACCCTGAAGCTAAACATTGCAATAGTCTGTGCAGGAGCAGAGCCTAAAGCCTGCATGGGAAGAGGGCTGTGCAAGTGAGCTCCACTTCAGCAGAGAAGTTGCTGCAGAGAGCAGCCATCGGTGTCAGGGAGCGAAGGGAGGACGTGGCTTTCACTGGCCTTCAAAATAGAAGCAAAAGCCTAAAAAAAAAAAAAAGAGCCAAAAAACTCCTCCCACCACCTTCTTTAGAAGGTATAAATCCAGCAAGACTGCTTATGTAACTCAAGTTAGGGACATCCTTAAGGGCATTATTGGATTTACGCTGTACTTCCTACTTCCTAGAAGCACTGGCCAGTCTCTTAATATTGAGCAGGAGGACAGGGAGCTTTGGAACCGATGGCTTCACAAGTCCTGGCTCACCAGAGCCCAGCTTCCAGGCTCCTGCAGGAGGGACAGTGAGGATGTCACCCCGGTGAGACTCCTCGGTGCTCCTGTGACGCTGCACTCGCTCCAGCGGCTGAGCACTGCTGCTCTCGAGCCTGCAGAAGGCACGCTTGGATAACCTAAGTCCACACGGAAGCCACGCTTAGGAGAGGCCGGATTTAAGCATAACCAACAACACCGTGTCGCAACACCGCTCCACAGCCGGTTATTCCTGGCTCGGGTGGTGCGGGGAGCCCTGTCCAACAGGCACGGCGCTTGCCCGCTGCTCACAGGGCTAGTCTCCTGTGACAGGGGCTCAGATCCGTGCGTGGAGCACGAGCAGCTCGATACGGAGAGCGCGGCATCCGCGCAGCCAGCGGCCTCTTTCCAAGGGATCCTTCCTGCTCTTTTCCCTGGATTAAAGAACGGGTTCGAAGCCAAGCTGGAAATAACTTTGCTCACAGACTCCAAAGTCAACTCTGGTGTTTTTTCAAGGAAAAAAAAGCCTGCCAGTACAAAAGGCTTAAATTTAAGCATATGTTCAAGTGATGTAATGAGTATAGAATAAAAAGTGCTATTGTAGACAGCGTCCAGTCCACCCCAAAAGCAATCCCACCCAAATATCAAAAACAAGATCAAAATCTCCCCAAAACAGCAAAACACTCACAAATAAACTAAAAAAAAAAAGGATCTCCTCAAAAAAAAAAAAAAAAATCCTAGAATAAGTTGCCTTAAAGTCTTTCCTTCACAGTTATCGCTTCTGGCCCTGGCCTTTCTAGCACGGAACATAATCACAAGTGAAACAGTGCAGGACTTCAGACCACCCCAGTGTCCTTCAATTAGATGATTTGCCTATCGAATTGTTAAGAAACGTCCTGTTGACAGGAAACATCAGCATGAACAGCCCAAACGAAGGAACAAGCTTTCTCAGCCCAAAGTACTCACCACAGTCATTAACTGCCTCCCTTCAGGCACTTGCATACACGTAACACCCTGGTCCTCAGACTAAACTGAGGATCCGAACCATACAGTCCCATGCTGGACCTAGATTACACTCCTTTAAGATGAGCCTGGAAGAAACTTCAAATGCAAGAGCCCCATTAAACTTCAGCCTACCCAGTCAATGAGTTATGGGGCAGTTGGAATTTTAAACAGAGTCTTGGGTACAAGCTGGGAGAACTTTGCTTTACATTTCGTTACAGATTAAATAACTAAAGCCCAGAAAAGATGCAAGAAAGAGATAGGCACGCCAGGAGACTAAGGTAAGACATTACAAAGTGCCTGACAAAGCAAAATAAAGCAAAAGCAAAACCCTGTGCCTGGGCAAAGGTGAAACCCTGGGATCTGCAGAAAGCTTTTTACGGTCTTGCACACAGAGCTGATTAGCGTGTTGACCATTTAAAACCCTCTGGCAAATCTTACACTCAGCCAAGGTTGCCCTTCCAGTGGGGGCAGAAGGCGAGCTCATTTCTCAGATAAAAACCATGATATGGCAGGTCACACGATGCACGCTTCACAGCTCCTTGCCTTCGGGACAGCCAGGCTCCCGCGGCTGAAGGCAACTCAGCACAACCTGCATGTTCAAAACGGAGCAGCACGACCAGCACTGGTGGGACAGTCAAAGGCTTTAATTGAATCAAACATAACCTTAAGTGCTTTTGAGTAAAGCACAGACCCTAAAACTGGGGGACACACATACAGAGCACTTCCTGCCTCCCAGCTAAAAGCAGAATTATGGTTAGGTGAGTGGAGCACCAGTTCTGAAACTGATGGGCAGGAGTGAGGTTAAAACATCACCTCTTTCTAGAGGCCACAGAGGCTGTGGAAGGGCTATGGGTGAGGACTTGGGCCTCCGCACTGAGAGCCGACGTCCCACGGGCAACGCTGCACGTCACAAAGGTGTTGCCAGGCTCTGCCAGTGGCTTCCGAGCTGCTACCAACAACCTCTGGGCACAAACCCACCTTGCAGCAGCTCTCAGCCTGGTGACAAGCGGCGTGCGGGCTTGGGACACGGACTGTGACAGAGCAGAGGTGCCCTCGGTGCCCAGGCGGGATGCTCAGCCTCGCTCAAAGCTTCAGCCCAAGCACAGCCGTGGGCTCCTGTGTGCTGGGACTGCCTCTCTGGGGACACTGGTGTCACTGGTTTCCTCCATATCCAGCTCCTGCAAGGCTCAGACTGGGTCAACAGTGTTAGGATGCTCAGTATGTCATCTAGGAGAAAGCCCCAAAGAACTCTTTGCTTTGGGCTCCAACAGCCTCTACAAGACAAGTAGCACTCAAAAGTTACTGCATTTCCTCATCTTATTTATTTTTTTTTTAAATCAATGGCACAACAGTATTTACTACCTACTAAAATCCACCCTTCCTCACACCCTGACGTCACCGCCAAGCCCCAGGCTCTCCCCTTGCAGCACCTGAGAGTCACACCAGTTTCTACACCGTTACTTCCCCTGGGTCTGGTGACCTGTTTTGAGTCACGGAGCTTCCCAGGCTGAATGTGAGCACGGCCACCTGGGCACACCTGCAAATATCCAAGGATACCTGGGGAAACGTTGAGGGTTTTAAAGCCTCGAGAGGCTGAGTCACCTCACTTCTGCAAGGAAATAAACAGCAAATCTGCATCAGAAGTGATGTAACATGGCCTGATAAAGAGGGTGAGCCAACACAACGCTTCTAAGAGACCTCTCTGTGGGTATTTCCTCCATTTCAAGCTTGTAATTAGCAATGTATTTTAGCAGGAAGAGAAGCATCAACCCTGTTTGGAGTTATCTGCAATGTGTGAGCAGGGACAAGCTGAGAGATCACTATACTTTGTCACTGCTATCCAAGAGACGAGCCTAGCACCTAGAGCAAGCAGAACAGGCAGGGTTCATCTCAACAGCAGCTAAGAGATAATATTCTGCAACGACATAAGGAGCTGGTACTTGACGTTACAGATAACCTTCCCAAAGAGATAACCTTCTTTCTGTTTAGGGAAGGCTAAGGGCCCCTCTCGCTGTGGGGTTATATCAAGTCAATAAGACCAAGCTGGCAAAACTTTCTACCTTCTCCTTCCAGTGCTTTCCTTAGGGCACCTGCCAGTTTTGCAGGTGTTTTATTGGCTTTTAAGCTCAGTTTTGAGCAGAGGCCTCTCAGTTTGCGTGCTGTGCTTGCATGGTTTGCAGCACAGAACCCCAGAGGGGTCAAATACCTGCTGCTCTCAAAAGACATGACCAATCGTAGGCTTGGTGGCACTCAAAGTGAACCACACCTGAGTCAAAATCTAAGCTTAGGATTTGGTGCATCCCAAAGTAGCACAGACTAAAGCTCAGGTTTAGCATCCTTATTGTGCAGGTAGAGGATCCCTGCATACATTGTGCATAGCCCTGTGGAGCATATGAGCACTAATAACAGCATTTTCAAAAACCTTTCCTGTATGATATGCCAGAACCACAAGGCTTTTGCAAAGCTATGAAACCAAGTGCCTGGAGAGACAGAAATATATTCCCTTCTGGCAAAAGACACTGTCTATACTGAGGCGTGGGCTGCCACAAACACACACTGCACGTCCTCCAGGCTTGGTGGGCTGCAGAGCCCCACAAGCTCAGGCAAGGATTTTAATCTGGGGAAAGGAAAAGCAGCATGTGATGCGGCCTCCTTCTGCCTTCTCAAGCACACTCAGTAGAAATAAAGGCACCAAACATCCCAGGCTTGCAAGAGAATCTGCTTTACTGCCTTGATCTGCAACAGCCAGAAACTTTAACTGGTTCTTGGACCCAGAGGGAGAGAACTGGGCACAGACCACGGATGTGCTCCGGTCTTCAAGACCCCTCTCCTACAACAGGAAAGTTCCCGCTATGGTTAAGGCAGGGTCTATGGAGAGAAACCAAGGCACGTGTCACCAGACGGATCCAAATCCCCCTTTTCTACCTGTGCTTTGGGAAGGCACTGCCTTGGGGAGAAGCAGAAAACCCCAAGGGAAGCAGCAGACGAAGCTGTTTCCAAGCAGCGCTGCTCTGTGGAGCCCTTCCAGCCCCTTCAGAAAGCCCCTGTTCTGGGAACCACTGTCACTAGACATAAAAGGAAGAGCAAATTCAGGCAATACATCATATTTTTTAGAGGAGCTAAAGAGTCCAGGGTGACAAGAGCTACTCACCCACCACAACACAGTGCTTGGAGTTGGTCCCTGAGCACAGCACTGCGGCAGAGCACGTCCTGGGTCACCTGAAAAACCTGCCTGCAGAGACTCCTACCCTCAGCACCACCCCCAGGCCAGCCTTGTGTTACTCCATAGGGCAAATTAAAGATAAACCCAAGACCTACCAACCAAAAACCCCACACAATGCTGGTTTCTCACAGCACGTCCTCAGCACCTCCGAAAAGCCCGTGGACAACGGTCCCTTCTGCAGAAACTGCCCAGGAAAACACACTCACCTTGGAGCTACCAAGGACACGGCACCTCCACCAAATTTGGGGAGGAAAGAGGGTTTCTAAACAGTGCCTGCTCCCAGAGTAAGAGGGGAACCCGCTGCTGGGGCGGGCAGGGGGGTGCCCAGCCTCCCGTGCCCACACAAGGGCTCAGCATAGGCCTCAAGCTGGCCCTCTGCCTCCTTCCAAAAATCTAGCCGTTTTTAGTGTTTCAGCACAAAACGCAGGCTCACCTGAGGACACATGGCCTCCCGGTCTGAGCGAAACCCGGCGCCGCGTCCGCGCTGCCAGCCAGAGGCTCCCGCCTGTCCCACGGAGGGAGGAGGGAGGCAAAGTTCAGGAAGGACTCGGCTTTACCGACTAAGCGCCGGGCCCTTGGGAACAGAGTTCCTTTTGTTCTTGACCTTCCCGGCGCCGCGATAACAACAACGTGTGGGCCAACGAGCACTTCCCAGCCGGCCTCCGTGCGGATAAGGATTCCGAGCGCTCCTCGAACCCCCACGCGCGGCAGCCCACGGTCCTGCTTCAGGAGCAGCTCCAACAGCACAACACATCTGCAGAGGCCCCAGGGTCTATCCCACCTTTTCCAACTTCTTTTTTAAGCATTACATGGCAAACACCCTCCTTATAACCATAAATTAAAATAAATACACAAACAGAACTTGTCTTGCTCGCCACAGGAAAATCGAGAGCACTTTATTACTGATGAGCAGCGATTCAGTGACTCACACAGCAGTTTATGATACCCACGACACCATTACTCTCAGAGGAGGGTTGGTGCCTTGGTAATCAGTGATAACCAAGTTTATCAACACACCAACTTCCACCCACCTCTTCATCGAGCTCTGTTTAACCCCAACCAAGCAGCTGCTTCCTAAGCAAACACAAAAGCCCTGTCAGAGCCACCGGCATTAAGTGACACAAAAGGAGAGGAAGGTCTCTAGGTCTTCAGGATCCTCCTCTTCCACAAGGTAACCAAGACCCAGTGGCATTGAGAGACCTTGGAAACGCAGTATTTGTGATGCACTGCTCAAAGCTAGAGGTTTCTGAGGGTTTCATCTAACGTATCTCCATGTTTAGAATCACAATGATATTTGAAAAATAAAAGTAACAATGAAAGCATCTTTACCAGGTTTTCTTCATTTTAACCACTGCTCCAAATCTTTCGTCCACATTATTCTCCACATCTCCCTTAGGGAGCCAGGGATGAGCCCTGGAGCACATGCTTGAAGCACTCTGGCTATAAAAGCACTGAATGTGCTAAAAGGTCTTCAGAGCTTGTCCTTTTACCTCCCCATATATCATTACTCTGACCGATGAGAGCACCAAATTCACCTTTTTGCAGTCAAATCACCACCAGAACGGCCTCCACATCTAATCTGCAAGACCTGGCTAGTCTGGAGGACCTGCGACTAGCTTTTTACCATCCATCCACAAAACAACGAGTTTTGGCAGTCACCGCCTCAGTCCTGTCCCCAATCAGTACCAGTACCAGCAAGCTCACCACTTCTAGCAACGTTTGTCCACCTGATCTTTAAATCCTTCTCCCAAATATGTTACCTCCTCTCTAAGCACCTGCTTAACCTTATGCTAGTGATTAATGCTGGTGCAGATGTCTAACCTAACCCTCCCATACAATTTACACCACTGATCTTGCCTCGTGCACAAGACTCGAGAGAAGAATTTACTACTTCCCCCTCTGCAGAGACCCTTTATATACTTTGAACTCCGGCTTCTCTTAGCCACACTCCCGCATCATTTGCGACCTATTTTTTTAGTTACCTGCACAAGTTACATGTTCTCATTTTCTTTGGATTACTCTTGCTCTCCTGCAGGCTACATCCTTCCTGAAGTGCAGGGTCCCAAACAGGACACACAACTCCCGATGTTCCAATAACTACCTGGAAGCGTCTTGTCCCTTGATAACCAAGTTAATCTGTCACACAGTCTAAAACAGATGGAGAATTCTGGTAATGAACACAGCAAGAGGGCAGTTATGGTTTAACCTGAAGTTGTCTTCCAGCCTGGTATGTGACAGTGTGCAGGTCACAGCCCTTTTCTTTCAACTTCTCCATTTGGGCTGCAAGATTTGAGGGAATTTCTACTACAGCTACATTATGTCCAGCACAGGAGGAACCCAAAGACAGTTGCAGCAAGGTTAATTAACAAACATCTACACCTGCCTATTTTTCCAGTTCTTACAAAGATAATTTTGCTTCTAAAAGTTGCCTTTTCTGCTCAAAGCCATGCTCCACCTGATGCTTGCTATTACCCTGAGCCTCATATCACTGTGTGCTGCAGGCCAGCTCCCACATTTCTTAGTCCCACGCACTGGGCTCCCAGTTAAAGATAAGGCTCCAAGGTCTTCATATTTTTTTTCAGCCCATTTTGCACAAGGCAAACACTCCGGCTGGGATCTTTTCCAACCAGCAAAGAACATTTCTCTTACCATAATCCTGAACTAGAGTCCTGCTTCAGAGAGACACTCTAACCCGATTTATCCACCTCCCATCCTGTCTTCTAAGCGCTACTGAGGTCTAGACAACGTGTGAATCTCCTTGGCAGTTTCTGTTTTTGTTGCTATGAAGTCATCAACACAGTGATTTTGAAGTCTAAATCCAGCATTTTTTAAAAAAATTATCATATTTTCTTGTAATTAATCAATAAAGATCACACACAGGCTTTGGCTTTTAAAATGCGTATTATTCTTTCAAAGTAAATCCTTTGGAAAATCAGAGCTAGGCTAACAAGCAAGGGGAGAGGGAGCCAGGAAAGCTGAATGGAGGAGCAGGGAGGCCAAGGGCTCCCTTCTCGGGGTACCTCATGTCACTTGCTGGGGAAACTTCTCCCTGCAGAGGGGCGAGGAGGCTCCGGGCACGGGGCATCCGAGCAGACACCTGCCGAGGCAGTCATTCCATGGGAACAGCATTGGTAAAAGAAGTAAAATGGTTCAAGATTTAAGAGCTCCATCACCACAATGCTGTAGCTGTCCCGGAAGCAGTAAGAGTATAGGATTTTGAAGTGCAAAGCACAAAGAGAAAAATTCCCTTCGCCAAAACGGGGAATTAAGGGTGCCAAAGAAGGGTGAGCTGCGCTTGAAAGGCAAAGAGAAATGTCTGAAATGGAAAGTCAGATTATTAAAACTGGGGGGGGCAGGGGGGAAGCTGCATCTGGCCTTGCAGAGTTGCTGCAGCCTCCTGCACGTCGCTGCAGCCTCCACGGAGCCTGCACCTCCTCATTGCACCTCCTCACCGCTGCCCGTGCCCGGCGCTGCCCAGCAGATGGCAATCGCCCTGCATCGTCACCGCGGCCTCAGCGGGCTGCAGCGCTGCACCCTGCGCCCTGCTCGCTGCACCGTGTCCCGCTCGACTCCAGAGCTTCCAGCTGCCCCACTTTGCAGATCTCCAACAGGGCCTCGAGTCCCGCCGTGCTCTTTCGGACCCGCTGCGTGAGAATGCAGAATGTAAAATGAACCCCCAAGCGGCACTGGTGCCGTCGCCAGCGCTCCTGAGCTGCTCCTGCTCCCGTCCCGCTCCCGGACGAACCCCCGGGCATGCCCAGCACACCCGGCTTCCACATTTGCATCCACGCGGGATGTGCCGGCCTTCCTGATCCATGCAGCTCCAAGCGGCTCATCCATCCCCAGGAGAGAGGGCAGAGCAGGCGGTGGTTGTGGTTGGGCTGGGAGGCACAGCGGGCGCTCGCAGAGCAAACCACGGCTCTCCTCTTCCCAAGAGGAAGGCAACTAGCTGTGCTCCTTAGGCTCCAGGCCCTGCCAGAGCAAGAGGGGCTCACCTGTGTCTACAAACTCAGCAGTTGCGTTTGCAGGCTTAAAACAAAGCAGTCTGCTCGAAGAAGGCAGTTTTGGTGCTGGGCAGTCCAACAGTATAGTCCAATTTCAGTGTTGCATGCTTGGTGTGCACCATATTTCCAAAACAGGGACAGCTGAGAAGGCAAAATGCTTTCTGGTGCAGTGGGATAGGAGGTTTACTCAGCAGAAAGGCAATGCCTTCACTTTGGGGAGGATATTTTCCTCTCCTGTCTTCTACGTGAATCTCGCTTAGGCAGAATATGTACTGGGAAAGGCCATTTATTCTGTGTGCAGCATCAGGGCTTCCAGAGCATCCATCTCCCTCCTGCATGTAACCTAAGGATGGCCTGACAGGCCCTTCCAGGGGCCAACAGCTCAGTGAGAATGGGCAGCTCAGCGCATGAGTGAAAAACACCCAATTGCAGCTCCCAACAGATCGCTCCGCAGCAGGATTGCTCATGCTCTGCCTCTCCGAAACAACCTGAGTTTCCATGGCACAACCCTACAGGACATGTGGAAGAAAAGGCACATTGGGAGCTCACGGTTCTGCTAAACGAGAACAAAAAAAAAAAAAACCCGCCCCAAGGCGCTGATTTATTTTTACTCTCACAGCCACCGAGCGGTATTTCTCGATGATGTTCTCATTTGCTGAATCTCTATGAAATCCTTGCAGGCTGGAAATTATTTCGAATCATGTATCCAAGACAACAAGAGTAATTCCTACCCAGCTTATTAAGCAAACAGACACCAACAGAGCGCTGATGCTTTGAAGATTACCTGGAGTTCAGTAGAAGAGCCCATTTACATCTTCCTGAAAGGAGATTTCAGCGTTTATTGCCTTCCTCCTCTGGCTCGTCTGGCTGTTTCAGGAGATCAGTGGCCAGCCTGGCTGAGCACAACCCTTCCAGTGGCTGCTCCTTCCCCAAACAGCCTGAACACTGTCAGAGCTCATCTACATTAAACGAGTCCTTAGAAATTATCCCTGCTCCAATGCTGGGAGATGGGCATTGCATGACGCAGGTCCAAGGAGCAAGAAGCTAAGACCCTCACCAGCATGAGCACCAGGGCTCGGGCTGCCAACCTCTAATCTGCTCAGTCCAGCCATTAGAAAGCACATTTACAACCTCTTATAGTATAGAAGGAGGAAAATGAAAACGCTTCTCTTCCTGGTTTCCCTCCTATGGAGCTATTACTGGCTTTTGTAGACCATCTTTCCAAGGAGAGCAGTGATATTTGTGAGCTTTAACAGAATACCCAAATGGAGAAAATAAATATATAAAATAAAATAAAATAAAGACAGCAGAACTCATTCCAGCCTCTCCTGCAGAACTGCAGAGATAGCTCAGCCTCCAGGGAAGCGATGCAAGACATGCTTGGAAAGCCTTTTGGGGGAGGAATCCAGCATCACGGAGCTATTCAAGCCACGTTCACAGGAGTTCCCCTGAGGGACAAAGGAACTTGCTCGGGGTGACATTACAAGCCCATTCACTTGCTGGAGAACAGGAGTCAGCCAACTAGCTCACTAGAAACTCTGC